TCTCCCCTCGCGCCATTCCTTGTGTCTTCCTTGGCTTTGTCCCTGACGCGCCTGGCTGGCAGTTTTACGACCCCGCCTCGCGCCGTGTCTTTGCGTCTCAGGACGTCACCTTTGACGAGTCGGTCCCCTTTTACCGCCTCTTCCCCTACCGCACTGCTCCTCCTCCCCCCCCCGCCGCTCTTTCTTGCCCCAGGTCCTCCCCAGGTAGACCCCCTCCCCGCGCCAGGTCCTGCTCCTTCAGGTGTCTCTCAGGTAGACCCCCCCGCGCCTGCGCCTGTTGAGGTTACTGGTGACTCAGGTCCTGCTGCTAGTGGTGATGTCCCTGGGGGTGCGGAGCTTGGGGGTGCTGAGTCTGGGGGCGCTGAGCGTGTGGAGCCTGGAGGTGCTGAGCCTACGCGTGAGGAGCCTGGAGGTGCTGCGTCTGGGGGTGCTCCGTCTGGAGGTGCTGTGTCTGGGGGTGCTGAGCCTGCGTGTGCGGAGCCTGGGGGTGCTGAGTCTGGGGGTGAGTCGCCTGAGGGTTCTGAGACTGCTGTTACGCGGTCTCCCTGGAGCAGTCGTCTTCGTTCGCGTGTGCCCCTTACCTCCCAGCAGCTGCACGACTGGTACGGTCGCCGTCAGCGTCGCACTTCTGCACCTCTGGGCTCTACTGCTGGGGGTTCTTCTGCTGGTGTCGCTGGTCCCGGAGGTGCTCGTACTGGGGGTACTGGAGCTGCTGGGGCTGGCGGTGTTGCTGCTGGAGGTGCTGGAGGTGCTGGAGGTGCTGGAGGTGCTGAGGGTCCCGCGGTTGCTGGCGGTACTGGACCTGCTGAGGGTCCTGGAGCTACTGGTGGTGCTGGAGCTGCTGAGGGTCCTGGAGCTGCTGGAGGTACTGGAGCTGCTGGAGGTGCTGGAGCTGCTGGTGGGGCTGGTGCTACTCGTGCTGGTGGCATTGCTCAGCCGCGCCTGTTCTTCGCTCCGCCGTCCCCGTCGTCTCAGCCACCACCTGACTCTGCACTTCGCCAGGTTCTCAGTCTTCCCTCGTCTACTGGTCTTCCGTTACAGCCTGGCTCACCGCTGCCTGCTCCTTCTCCGTACACAGAGCAGACTAGTGGCCTTGCAGAGCGTCGTGAGCCTGCGTCGCGTCCTGTCTCACCTGTCCGTTCTGGTCGTTCCGGTCGTCGTGTTCCTAGTCAGAGACAGCCGACTGTCTCCGACCCTCACCTTGTAGTTCGTCGTCCTTCCTCTCCTTCGTCGCGTGTTCCTCTGCTGCCTCCCCCTGCGTCCTCTCTGCCTGTCGTTGCTGACCCTGCGTCTGACCTGTTTCGTGCTGAGCACTCTACTGTCCCGCGTCTGCTTGCCACTGTTGTCACTGACCCGTCGTTTGAGTCTGCTGCTGCGTCTGCCTTAGTCGCTGAGCTTGTTGACTTTGCTACTCACTGTCGTCTAGACTACGCCGCCAGTCTTGTTGCTGAGTCTGAGTCTGTCTGTCCTCCGTCCGTCGGGGGTGAGTGTGCTCTTGGCACGGACGTCCTTGAGGACAGGCAGGAGGACCTTGAGTGTCTTGCAGCCGCTGCGCCTCATCTCGTGTCCATGCTGCTTGCCCCTGAGGGAGACCCGGATGCACCAGACATCCCTACCCCGCGCTCTTACGCTGAGGCGATCGCGGGTGAGTACTCCTCTCAGTGGCAGACAGCCATGGACGCAGAGATGGCATCCTGGAAGTCCACAGGCACTTACGTTGACGAGGTTCCCCCTCCTGGGGCGAACATTGTCAGTGGCATGTGGATTTTCAGGGTGAAGCGGCCTCCAGGTTCTCCGCCTGTCTTCAAGGCTCGTTACGTGGCTCGAGGCTTCAGTCAGCGAGAGGGAGTTGACTTCTTCCAGACCTTCTCCCCCACCCCGAAGATGACCACTCTTCGGATGCTGCTGCATGTTGCCGCTCAGCGTGACTACGAGCTTCAATCTCTTGACTTCAGCACAGCCTTCTTACAGGGCAGCTTGCACGAGGAGATCTGGCTGCGCCGCCCTCCTGGCTTCACTGGGTCGTTCCCTCCTGGTACCCAGTGGAGCCTCCGGCGGCCAGTCTACGGTCTCCGCCAGGCGCCACGTGAGTGGCAGGACACACTGGGGACGACACTTGCGGCTCTTGGGTTTGCTCCGTCGACTGCTGACCCGTCGCTGTTTCTGCGCACCGACACTTCGCTGCCGCCGTTCTACATCCTCGTGTACGTCGACGACTTGGTCTTTGCCACTGCTGACACTGAGGCTCTCGCCCTGGTGAAGTCGGAGCTGCAGAAGAGACACACGTGCACAGACCTGGGTGAACTGCGCAGCTACCTTGGCTTGCAGATCACCCGGGACAGAGCACGCCGCACCATCACACTGACTCAGTCACACATGGTGCAGCAGGTCCTTCAGCGCTTCGGTTTCACCTGGTCCTCAGCATAGGCCACTCCTCTGGCTACAGGTCACTCGCTCTCAGCTCCACCTTCGGACGAGTCCGTAGAGCCGAGTGGTCCTTACCCAGAGTTAGTGGGCTGCCTCATGTACCTGATGACTTGCACTTGTCCTGACCTTGCGTACCCTCTTGGCCTTCTGGCTCGCTACGTGGCTCCTGGTCGGCACCGAAAGGTGCACATGGATGCTGCCAAGAGGGTACTACGCTACTTGTGCAGTACATCGGGCATGAGGCTCGTGCTTGGAGGACGGGGTGACGTTGTCCTCACAGGTCACTCGGACGCCTCTTGGGTTGACGACCAGGCTACGCAGCGGTCGTCACAGGGTTACACCTTCAGCCTTGGTTCTGGTTCAGTTTCCTGGCGTTCTACACGTTCGTCTTCAGTTCTCGGCTCCAGCTGTGAGGCCGAGATCTACGCCACAGCCATGGCTGCGCAGGAGCTACGCTGGCTCACCTACCTGCTGACCGACTTGGGAGAGCGGCCTCGTTCTCCTCCAGTTCTGTACGTCGACAACAAGGCCGCCATTGCCTTGTGTCAGGAGCACAGACTGGAGCACAGAACAAAGCACACCGCTCTCCGTTACTTCCTTGCTCGAGAGCTGCAGCAGCGTGGCCAGCTTCGTCTTACTTACATGGCCACTCGGGCCAACACTGCTGATATATTCACCAAGGCGCTTCCGCCTGGTGATCATCAGCGTTTCTGTACTTTGTTAGGCCTTGTGCCCACGCTTCCTCGCTTGCTGTAGGCTTTGTTTGTACTGTGATCTATATGTATACCTGCATGCTTGCTCTTGTAGGCTGACATCAATGTGCTGTTGTTGTTACACATATATCTCTGCATGTGAACTGGCCTTGTGGCCTCTTGCTTGTGCTCAGATTGCGTGGTGACGTTGTGATCCACCCTGAGCTTGCTTTGCATTTCCTGTCTGGCCTTGTGACCCTCTGTTCTCCCCCACTTTGCCTATGGGGGTGTGTCAAACATATGTTTATATGTTTAAGTTAGATAGGCTGTAGTGGGGTACTCACTGTGGAGTACAACCCCTTAGATTTTTCCTCTTGTACCAACACTCTCGATAGTTGAATCATCCATTGCCTAGCCTTTCGACACTCACATCAGAGAGACCGAGACCCCGGAACACTGCCTCTACATTGGTGGTAGCAGCACTCAGGCGGGCCCTTTGCATGACCAATGAATCTCTCTCGACCGATTCCCTGGGGAAACTGCTCTTCTGGAAGGTGCGTTCCAGCTTAGCATTTCCGGAGGCCACAATCACAGCCATCACGCTTCAACAGCTATGGCTGGAACAATGCGAGTGAGTTTTTACGGGAAGAAAGTTTCGGCACGACGAGTTTGCAGAGGATTGAAACAACTTTCCGGCAACACGCAATGATATACACTCGCACAAGCGGAGCTCAGGAGGAAAATCCAAGGCACGGGGCAGGAAGAGAAATCCGACGCTCGTTGGAGAAGGAGAACAAGATAGCAAGTCGTGGATGTGGAACAATTCATTCGCCACCATCTGGGTCTCCCCGAGGATGAATCATCGCCCTTCTTAGTATCATCATCCGAGGTAGCCATGCGACCACCGCTCGAGCACAGTTAAGGTTGTTATTGACCGTGTACACTTGTTGTATCGGTGTATATACCAATTACAAAAAGCACTAATATTAATCTTAAAAGGTTACAGCTCTGCTAAGTATCATTATCTCACCAAGAACAGCAACAGCTTTGCTTCGATGAAGGGTGGCAGTTTTTATCACGATTAACTTATGGGTTTGTTTTTGTAGGTTAGGGGGAATCGGGTTTAGTAATTATTCCTGCATGTTATATAAATTGTGGTTTATTGAATAATTATTGAAATTGTTCCATATAATAGGAATACATGATAATATATGGCTGATATTGAATACATAAGTTTCAGTCTAAAGAAGGATCACCTGAATCAATGCAAGCTAAGGTAATACTAAGAAAGAGCAATCTTTATGGCGCTCTTCATAATTGTTTCAAGGGTTTTATGAAAGATTTGTGTGGTCCATATCGGATCGTATCGAGTATGACCTTGATTGGGGGATGTTACTGTAAAGCATTCGATGTCAAATGGGACTCGTTGCGCTATTGACGGTCATAAGCACAGCCCTTATCAGCGATTGGCGTACAGCTATTCTTCGGCGTACAACCCCAACCGGAGCTGCCGAGCCAACTGTCACGTCAAGCACTTCACCAACCATGATGGAGTAATGCGTGTCTCATTGCACGGCATTCGATAGAAGAACGAGTTCGAACCGGGCCACCTGGCTCGCGCTTCACCTTCTCCAGACCACGCAGAATTCAAATCCGCACATTCACGGGTGCACTTGCTTGCGGGGCGGCTCGAGTATCGCGGCTCGCATCCCACAGCACAAGCCCCTCGCGTGGATGCACGACCAAGGTCTAACCTTCCCTCGTCACGACCATCAGCAGCACCTGAGCACAACCCTTAGCAACATAAAAGGGTTCTATTTGTACGGTTTCACTCAGAAAGTACTAGTCATTCGCTTAGTACCACTAACATCGAGGCACACCATGGCTCGCGCTAGTCGCTGTACGCTCGCTCTTCTCGTCGTCCTTGCTTTAGCCTACGTTACCAATGCAGCCGTTGCTCCCACGGCCACAGCCGGCCCCAAGTGCGCGAACGCGTTCCCTCAGAGACCGTTGTGCAAGTTCGTGGACAGCTTGACCACGCGCGTCATCCCCACCCTCGATGGCACCAAGCCCCTCACCATTGGCGCCTATCAGATTTACCAGGTAACTCTCTCCTGCAACCCACCCATTACAGCAAACGCGTATCTTTTGCATGCTATCCCCAAAGATTTTGCGCTTTTCATGACGTGAACGCACAATGCGCCCTGCGTCTGACCGTAATGCCTCCCTTGCTTGCTGTCGTCACGTTGCAGAAATTCCATCGCGATCTTCCGGCGACGAAGCAGTACGCGTACGGCACGAGTCAGAAGACGGCGTCGTACCCCGGCCCCACCATCGTGGGCAAGGTTGGCATCGACACGACGGTCACGTGGGAGAACCACCTGCTCGACAACACGCACATGTTCACCGTCGATCCCACAATCATGATGGGCGTCAAAGTTCCCACGAAGGGCATTCCCATCGGTAAGAGCAGATCTCAGAATGGGTGGACTAACTCTCCATTCGCGTTTTGAGTTGCGTGCACTCAGCGATACTCCCACCGCGTCACGTGCAAACATGTACTCCGTGCGCGCATTCAGGCTGACTCCTCTTTCTCGTCCCCTATGGCCTTGCAGTTGTGCACCGCCACGGCGGTTCCCAGCAGAGCTACTACGACGGCCACCCTCTCGCGTGGTTTACGCAGTACGGCGAGAAAGGTCCCACCTTCTCTAACAGCACGTACAAGTACATCAACGACGAGGCGTCGACCGTGTGGTACCACGACCACATGGTGGGCATGACGCGGCTGAACGTCGTTGCCGGTCTCGCGGGGCTGTACATCATCACGGACCCTAAGGTCGAGTCCAAGTACACCTGGCTGCCGCCCGCCGCCCGCACCGTCCCGCTCGCCATTGCGGATCGCCTCTTCTTCGCCAACGGGTCGGTGAACTACCCGAACGTGGGCATCGTGCCGAACATCCATCCTAACTGGATTCCCGAGTATCTCGGCGACACCAACATGGTCAACGGCGTCGTTTGGCCGTACCTCAAGGTCCGGCCTGCGATGTACCGGTTCAAGATGCTGGGCGCGTCGAACGCGCGTTTCTACAATCTGCAGTTCGTTTGCGCGCAGCGCGGCGACTACCCCAACTTTGTGCCGCCGCTCAAGGGCCAGGTTCTCGACATCGTCGTTGTAAGTGATACTACTGACTACGCGGCTCACGTTACAACCGCATTTTCCTAAGCAAGCACGTACTACCACGTTCTCTTTCAACGCGTCATTGCTTAACGAACGTATTACTTTCTAATTGAACACGCAGATCGCCTCCGACGGCGGGTACTTGCCGAAGCCGGTGTACGTTAAGTCGCTGCTGCTGGTTCCGGGCGCTCGACAGGACGTGCTCATTGATTTCTCCAACCTGCCCGCCACGTGCAAGGACGTCATTCTTCAGAACACCGCGCCCGCGCCTTTCCCCGCTGGCGTGACGGCTGACCGCGACACCGGGCTTGTCATGCGCTTCGTGCTCACCAACCGCAAGCGCATCCCCGCCGCAAAAGTGCCAAGCTCCATCTCGGTACGCTCGTTCACCCACGCACACCGGACGCTACCGAGGTTTTGACTTGCATATCCTGAATGCCACTGTTTCGACTCCTGACATTCTCTTGCCTCTTCCCGCATGGCAGTACCTTCCGCCGATCGACTACAAGAACATCCAGAAGGTTCGGTGGCACCGCCTGATCGAGCAGATGGACCCCAAGACGAACCTGCCCATCCGCATCACCGTCGACAACCTCGGCTTCATGGACCCCGTCACCGACTACCCCAAGCAGGTCAGGGCCTTCCCCATTCTCAATATCATCTCCTCCCCTACCCTCGATTTTATGAGTCCTTTCGTTCTCTTCGTTCTCTCAATGACTCGGCGCGCGTCCACATCAGAAGACTTTATTTACCCTCGCGTTGTCCCGCCTTTCCATCCGCTTCCCCTGCAGGGCACGAACGAGCTGTGGCACATCATCAACCTGTCGGCCGACGCGCACCCCATGCACTTCCACCTCGTCGACCACCGCCCCATCTCCCGCCGCCCCTTCGACGTCGCCGCGTTCCAGTCGGGCAAGTGCGCGTTCCGCGGCAACAAGCTGCCCCGCTGCTGGACGGGCCCGCGGGTGAAGGTCAACCCCACGGAGGACGGATGGAAGGACACCACGCCAGCGTATCCCGGTCAGGTGCTGACGCTCTGGTTCGGGTGGAAGGACAACAACGGCAAGCCTCTGAAGTTTGATGCGTCTGTTGGCCCGGGTTACGTGTACCATTGCCACATGCTGGAACACGAGGATAACGACATGATGAGGCCGTTTAAGGTCATCAAGTAGGTGGCAATGGGCTCGATACAGTAGGTGACCAACTCACTGACGAGTTGCATTTGCAGGTCTCTAGATTGATCATGTGCCATTGGAGTAGCTGAATTAGGTTATTTAGAATTTCCTGTGTGCTAGTTTGTAGGGAAACCAGTTAGTGGTTGCATGTGCAAGCCTTGGCCATTCTAGGAAGTCGATGCCAGCCGCATTGTTGCCTGCATTGGTGGGGCATGGTCTAGGAGTTGATGTAATCTTGGTAATAACCATTCCCTTGAGTTTGACCTCGTTTTCTGGTTCGCATTGATGGGATGTTTCCATTGATAATTACGAGAGTAGCTGGGATGCACTAGGCCAGCACGGAGTGGAACAAAAGCAATGGACATTTCAGTGGTGAAGAGTAATGCTCTTGGCATGTGGAGCAGGAATATGAAATCGGCAATGTCGTGGGTAGGAACATATACCGGAACATTGCCGGCTAAGTGAGCTGGAAATTATCAAGGTTCCACCCTCGTTGTAGTGTGTTGCAGTATCGTCTTGTGTTGAGATTTTGCACGCGGGGGACTTCGTATTGTTTTCTGGATTGTACAGTACATTGCTTTCACGCACCCACCGCCTTGTGGTGGGCCGCGAGCCTCCATTCTTCTGTTTTCTGACGGCCAGCTTGATGTACTAAGGACGTGTAACTTTTTCCGTCCGTACCGTATGCGAACAGGGTATCCCGCTCACGGTACGTACCGTCCAAGCTCGTTATCGAATTGCAGATCATGCGGGTTTTGACGAGATCCGGATACCAATTTCTTTACGGTACGGACGGTCAAAAAGAGAAAAAGTTACACGCCCTAATACGGTCGCAGGACGAGATAATTTTCGCCAACCACGTCTTACCCGCTCGCACATGGTCGCCTAAAGCAGACAGAGCCAGCAACGAATGGCTCCCAGAGCCCAACAACCGGCCCTGCGTCAGGGATTCGCTGTCTGCCCCACCAACCATCCAACACCTCCACCCACACAACCAACCAACGACCCATAGGCGCTTTGATACCGTGCGATCAGCAGTGCAGAGGCTGCGTAGTCGTACATTACTGTTCTGTGTGTGCGAATTCATGAAAAGTGCACATCTCGAATCGCCTAGACTGCCATCGATTTCTCCGTCGCCCAGCCAGCTAACAAGCAGCACGCGCACTCACCGTCGTGAGCGATGATGGCCCAACTTGGGAATAACTGGGTTGTTTGAAGCTATTCTTGCTTCTTGTTCCCCAATATTCCTGAGAGCTGTCAAACTAATGGATACGTGTCGACGTTCGGGAGTATTGAATTCTTTATTTCTATATTGTCACCATAGGTATCCGACATTTCTGTTTAGTCAGAACGAAGTTGGGTGCTCATCTATATCCTCGCTTGTAGCAGGAGCTAGTGCCGCATCTTAATGGCCTACTTACATCGAGAGAGCACTTCTTAATCGCCATTTTACATTGTCCCCTGTCTTCAAGCTATATTGCCGTCCCGACCCTCGTCTCGTCGTCCTCTCATTCAAAAAGGCTTCTTCGCCGATTTTTCTTCACCGTTCTCCACCGGCCCTCACCATGAGGCAATCATCGATACTATTCCTCTCAAGGCCGCGGTCAGTATCGGCGCGCGGTGACCGCGTTTTCTTGCCGCTCCGTGCGTTGCTCCTCGCGGCATTGCTCGTCGTTCTCTCCGCCTCCGCGACTTCCGCCTTCAAAGTCGGCACGCTCGCGAAGCCAGTCTACGTGGCTCCGTCACAACGTAACCACCCGTTCCCACTGCGCGCCACTGAAACCACGCTTTGATACGTATCACAACAAAGATTTAATGACCCATTCCCGCTCCGCGTCATTGAGACCACGCGCATGCATTGCCAGTGCCAGGTCAACCCTCCTGCTACCCACCTTTGCTGCACTTACTGCACCCACCTTTCCGCTTCCGCCTCACCCCCGCGTTGTGCACCGCGCTGATGGATTCCCCCTCCCCTTCCGCCTTCCCTTCCGCCTTCCCTTCCGCCTTCCCTTCCGCCTTCCCTTCCGCCTCCTCCTCCCAGTTCCTGCGCTGATGGAGCTACGGGCAACGTGGGGCAGCTACATGGACCTGCGGTCGTGGAACGGCAGCAACCCATGCAGCCGCTGGTGGCTCGTGTCGTGTTGGAGCAACGGGCTGCTGCGCCGCATGGACGTCAGCTCCAAAGGCATTCGAGGCACATTGCCGTCCGTGTTGGGGAATCTCACCTCGCTGGAAGAACTGTAAGCATGCTGGCCCCCACAGCCCTCCCCTTCTCTCTACCTCACTCGTGTTGGAGCAACGGGCTGCTGCGCCGCATGGACGTTAGCTCTAAAGGCGTCCGCGCCACGCTGCCGTCCGTGTTGGGGAATCTCACCTCGCTGGAAGAACTGTAAGTTCCCCCTCTCATCCTTCTCTCCCTCCTTCTCCCCCACTTCTCTCCCCCTCGTGTCGTGTTGGAGCAACGGGCTGTTGCGTCGCATGGACGTGAGCTCTAAACGGATCAGGGGGGCACGCTGCCGTCCGTGCTGGGGAACCTCACCTCGCTGGAAGAGCTGTAAGCATGCCTGCGTGCCTGCCTCCAGAGCTCCACCCGTTCCTTCCTACCTACCTTCCCCTCCTTTGTAACAAGAACCCCATCCCATTCTCTCTTCTCCCGCGCGCCTCCCCTCCCCCGCCCCCCCCCCCCCCCCCCCCCGCCAGCATCGCCACCACGAACTGGATCTACGGCGACATTCCAGACTCCTTCAGCAACCTCGTCAACCTCAAGAACCTGTCAGTGCCCCTCTCAACGCCTCTCAACGCCTCTCAACGCCCCGCACGCCTCTCAACGCCCCGCACGCTCCGCACGCCCTGCATGCCCTGCCACTGCACCCCTTGAGTTACAGCCCTGCCAGCCCACTCCCCCCTGCCAGCCCACTCCCCCCTGCCAGCCCACTGCGCCCCACAATGCTGCAAATCACTTGCTCCCTTACACGGCTCTAGAGCCTCTCCCTTTTTTCCATCACGCGCGCTGCCTCCCTCTCCCTGTTTCTCTCCCCTGTTCCCTGCGTCGTTCCCTCCATACCACCTTGCATGGTAGCATGCTCACCTCTCACCATAGTTTTGAGACGTCTCAAAACTGGTAGCATGCTCACCTCTCACCATCCCCTCTCACTCGCAACACCCCTCCCCTCTCCCCTTTCCATCTCACCCTTCCGCCACCCCCCTTCCCCCCTGCAGGCAGCTGTTCAAGAACTACCTGAACGGCACCATCCCGGCCTCCATGGGGAACATGAGGAGCCTGTACCAGCTGTGAGTGTGGGGCGAAGGTGCAATGACTTTTGAGTCGACTCAATTGCTCGTGTGACATTTTATCTAGCTGACTTTCGAGTCGAATCAAACGGCACCATCCCGGCCTCCATGGGCAACATGAGGAGCCTGTACCAGCTGTGAGTGTGTGAATGTGAGTGTGGCGAGGGGATTGACAGTTGTGACTGTAGTGGGAATGCAGTGCAATAGCCACATGGTGACGGCCTCTAGTCTAAGCCTCCACTACCAGTTGTTCAATTCTTCCAATCCCAGTACTCTGCTCCAACATGCTCCCCTGTTGCTATTCCATTCCAACCCCTTCCCACTCCTCTTGCTTCTCTCGTTCCTCCGTTTTCCACCACCCCTCGCACCTCACCCTTCTCAGCTGTTCGAAACCGCTCTGTACCATACCTCACCCCTCACAGCCACCTGAACATCAACTACCTCACGGGGGGCATACCAGATTCATTCTCCCAGCTCACCAACATGCGCAAATTGTGAGTGCTGCCTCCCCCCCTTTCCAACTGTTTTCCCAGTCCAAAAGTCGTAGGTACTTCTCCCAGCTCACCAACATGCGCAGAGTGAGTCGTGATTTGCTTTTTGAGGCGCCTCAAAAGACGATTTTTTACTCTCTCTCTTACTTGCTAAAACGTTTCACTAGCGCTGCTGCCCTTCCACCATGAGCGACAACATCACCAACACGCGCAGAGTGAGTTGTGATCTTGAACTTCCAGTCGTCTCAAAACATCTTGACGCATCTGAAAGCTCTCCACTCCCCCCACACCACTTCGCCCTACCCCCTTTCCCCCTCGCACCTTCCGCTTCACCCGTTCACTCTTCCCGCCTTCCGCGCCAACCTTCCCTTCCCCCCACCCGCCCGCCCAACAGCTATGTGTCCAGCAACCTGCTCTCAGGCCCGTTCCCTCCTGTGCTCTGCACCATGACGACCATCTGGGAGCTGTGAGTGTGCTTCGTAGCGTGCCTGCCCTGCGCTGCTGCGAGCTGATGTGACCTGCAGTGTACAGCAGTGTGCTGCCAGATACAGGTGGCTCAGGGACCTGTCCCCCCTGTGCCGTACTCTGCTCTGCACCATGACGACCCTCTGGGAGCTGTAAATGCTTCCATTGTACCTCGCCTTACCGTAGAGAAGTCCTATGGGAATCAGCGAATGTCTCTTACCATTAAGATAGGACAGGAGATGCTCTTAACCTGGGAGCATTGCAAGCAGCCTGCACATGCCCAGCCCATCCCTCCCCCTCTCACCCCCTTTTTCCCTGTGCCCTTCCACTACAGGCGCATCAGCTACAATCACTTCTCTGGCACTGTTCCCGAGTGCATCAGCAATCTCAAGAATGCGTACTATCTGTAAGTGAGAAACAACATCCGGTGTCTGTAAGTTGCACGTGCCCCTGTGCTACGCCCCCTGCAATCACCACCCTGCCTAGTCGCCCTCGCCCCCCCCTCTCCTCCCATGTCCTCTCTTACCCCGACCTCTCATCCCCATGCCCCTCCTCACGTGTCCCCCTTTTCCTCTCAGCTACATAGACACCAACTGGCTCACCGGCACTCTCCCCAGCACCATAGGAGATCTGCCCATGCTGCAGAACCTGTAAGCGTGCTGTGCCCATTGTGCCTTGCCCAGACAGCACACTTGCTTGTTGGGTGTCCGTGCCTTGTTAGGGGGCGCTCAGCTTCGTGCCTCCTTGCCAAAGGTCTTGCCCTCCGCTCTCCTACCTGTTACCTGCAGTCCTCCCCCGTCCCCTGCATTCTTCCTCCCCCCTGCCTCACACCACGCAATCCTGCCCCTGCCTTTGCCGCTGCCCCTGCCCCACACCATTCGCTCATGATCATCAACCAGAACAGTCTGCAAGGCCCGCTGCCCGCCACCATCACCTGATAAAAGAAGTGATTTGAGACGTCTCAAAACACTCCTTCCTCACCTCTCCCCGCACCCCACCTTCTCCCCTCCCCGCACCACTCGTGCAGGTTCATCAACCAGAACAGTCTGCAAGGCCCGCTGCCCGCCACCATCACCTCCCTCACCAACCTCCGCATCCTGTCAGTCAGACCCGCCCCCCTCCCCTTCCCCCTCCTCTTCTGAGCCGCGCCTCTAAACTACCACCGTCACCTCCCTCACCAACCTCCGTATCCTATTGGTCTGGCTATCCTCTTCTCTCGCCCCTCCTTGCCCCTCCTTGCCCTTCCTTGAACCCTCTGCTCTCCCCGCTCTTTCGTCTCTCTGCCCTCCCTGCTCTCCCCGCTCTTTCGTCTCTCTGCCCTCCCTGCTCTCCCCGCTCTTTCGTCTCTCTGCCCTCTCTGCTCTCCCCGCTCTTTCGTCTCTCTGCCCTCTCCGCCCTCTCTGCTCTCTCTGCCCTCTCTTCTCTCGGTGTCCTCTCTACCATTTCTCTTCTTCTTTTCACCCTGACATGCATCAACCCTCCCTCCCTGCCTTACCTCCCTTGCCATCTGGTTGTTTGATGTGTCGCTCTCCTCTCACTCTCCCCCCCTACCCCATCATCAACTTCATGAGCAGCAACCCCTATCTGGGCGGTCTTAGCCTGGCCACTTTAGCTCACTCGTCTCTTGCTTCGCTCTCTTCCCCCACCCCCTCTTCCCATCAGCTTCATGAGCAGCAATCCCTATCTGGATGGTTATCTGCCGTCAGATCTGGGCAACATGGTCAGCCTCACTGACTTGTGAGTGCCTTGCCATGCCATGCCCGGTTGGTGCACATGGATAAGCTTACCCAGTCACACCGAGTGAATTCTTGCTTGTCCTGCGATTCTCTCTTCCACATTACCTCGCATGTGCACTTCACTTGAGCACAATCATAGCATAGTGTGACAAGCGTCTCTTTGTCATCTCTTTCTCCTTCTCCCGCTTTCCTATTGTCCCCCGCCTACACCTCCCTCACTCTTTTCCGCAGCGTGATGGACTTTGCAGCCTTCAACGGCACCATGCCTGAGTTTTGGGTCGACTCAACAACCCCCGCTCCTCCCCCCCCTCCCCTCCCCCCTTCCTCTCCAACCCTTTCCCTTTGAACCCTCCCCCTGCTTCCCCTTCCACTGCTGCGACAGCGTGATGGAGTTTGCAGCCTTCAACGGCACCATGCCTGACTCCATCACCAAGCTCACTCGCCTCTCCCGCATGTCAGTCACGTCATGCCACCGCATTCCACCACGTGCCACCACATTCCACCACGTGCCACCACATTCCACCACGTGCCACCACATTCCACCACGTGCCACCACATTCCACCCACCACATTCCACCCACCACATTCCACCCACCACATTCCACCACATGCCATGCGGCCCTGCCCTGCCCTGCCCTGCTCTACCTTGCCATGTCATTCCATGCCATGGAATCATGAAATATGACATGCCAATGGTTTCTACCATCCAACGTCACCTGCTTTCCTTCCTTTGCATCTTCCCCTTTTCCCCTCCCTCCCTCCCTGCAGTCTGATGGACAACTGTCGCTTCACAGGTTCCATCCCACAAGGAATCAGCAACCTCAAGGCTCTAACCGTGCTGTGAGCCCTTGCTTGAATAGGTGCTTGCTGGTGTGCTTTAATGGGTGTGGTGTGGTGGTGATGTGAAAGTACTGGAAGGCGCTCACTGTGCTGGAAGGCGCTCACTGTGCTGGAAGGCGGTGCTAGTTCTATGCGTTTGTTGTGAAAGATCTGTATGGATGGGACTCGCTCGCCTCTCTCACTCACTCCCTGTTTTGCTCCTCCCCTCCCTGGCACTCCCACTCTCCTCAGATTCTTCCCTGTTTAGGTTTCACTCTCCCGGCCTGGCACTCCCATCCCCTCCTAGTCCTTTTGGCAATTGCGGGAGTGCCAATGCCTCACCTCCCACATTCCCTTTCATCTTCTTTCTCTCACTCATCTTCACCTCCCACATTCCCTTTCATCTTCTTTCTCTCACTCATCTTCACCTCCCACATTCCCTTTCATCTTCTTTCTCTCGCTCATCTTCACCTCCCACATTCCCTTTCATCTTCTTTCTCTCACTCATCTTTACACAATCCCTCGCAGCTATCTGGAAGGCAACCGCTTCTATGGAAGCTTCCCCTCAGGCATCCTGCAGCTTCCTCAGCTCTCACTTGTGTTAGTCCTTCTCCTCCCAATGGTGTCACCAATCCTGCTCGCACTTGTGTCACCAATCCTGCTCGCACTTGTGTCCACTCTTCCTGCAACCACTTCGCTCCACCCTCCTTGTAAGCACTTGGGTCACTATTCCGGCTCCCACTTCTGTCCACCCTTCCTGCTGTCACGTTTGTAGGTGGTTCTGTTCTCAGACCTGTCTTACCTCTCCAGCCACTTCTTTATCTGTCCATATTAGAGCATGCACTTTGTGCAAGCTACCACGGAATCTCCTTGCTTGAGGTTCATTCATAATCCACTTACTTTCTGCATTTATTGCACTGCGTTGCATATGCACTTCAACCGCACCCAACCCACCAGCAACCAGTTCTCGAGTCGAACTGGCCTTGTCTGCATTTCATATGCACCCACCTGTCTTTCACCTGTGTCCCACCCGCACCCACCCCACCAGCAACCTGCATGACAACCAGTTTTCTGGGCCGCTCCCTACAGGATTCCTCAACAGCACATTGCTCACAGCCGGCCAATACAACCTGCACCACAACTTCTTCTACGGAACTGCGTCCGTAACCGCCGGTGCGGTTACCAAATGCCCCACGGATCAAACTCGTCGTGGGATCTTCTACCAGTCTTCCTTGGCGTATAATTGCTTGAAGTACCCGCCGGGAAGTCCATGCGTGCTGGCAAACAAGGTTGAGAAGCAGGTGGCAAATTCCACGTGTAAGAGGTTTTGCGGCGCTGATGTGGCAACTTGCGGGGGGCATGGATCGTGCTGGTTTGGTCCTGGAAGGAACCCTTCGTGTGACTGCGATGTTGGATACGTGCCGGCAGTTGACAAGCAGTCTTGCGTCCCTGCACCTGCACCGGCTCCTTTGATGAGTCTTAGTAGCTGATTATTTATGTTTTATAGGTAGTAAAGCTGTATTTCCTGTGAAAACGGAAGAGATTTGTAGCATATTGCATTTTAGTTGCTGTTCCCCGTACGTTAGCGGATTGTTTCATGTGGTGTACGCGCTACATGTCAGGTGAAAAGTAACCTGGGCCTCAGGTGTGCAATCATGAACACTACACACTGTGCCACCTGCTGGGGACTGAAACAATCAGACATCCAGATCAACTCATACAACAACAGACCGGACAGCACCGACATGAAATACATTTCCAACTGCTCGGCAGCACAGCGCATGTTGCGCTACAGCTCATGCGTTTCCGACGGCGCGGTGGCGGTGTGTGGAGGTAGGACACGGCGCACGGTGCAGGGCTGGCGGGGGAAACACATCATGATGCTCATCATGTTGTCGCGTCGCATCGAAGCGATGCCGAGCAGCACCAACCAATCACGGCTAACGTGGCAACATCGCGCCACAGCAAATGATCACGCAGGTGACGGGCGGGTTGAGTAACCCAACAGCAACCAGCAATTTCTCCTGACGTTCCGCTTTCGCCGTCGCTTTCGCCCCATTCAGCCCGCCCCAAAATTCACCCAACCAAGCCCCTCCACCAACCAGCCGCACTGACTTCTGGCCCTCGCGCGGGGACGAGGGGAGGGTGGAAACAACCTAATTCGCGCCACCAACCACCCTTTGGTTGCACTGCGCATACACCTTTGGGAAGGGAAAGGTGGAAAAAAGAGACATGCGATTACATCCGACCTCTATGCACCGACTTTATCCGTAACCACCGCTCTCGCTACAAGCATCTGCGCAATAGTGCACGAGACTGTTCCTCAAAGGCGGAGCTTGGCCGTCCTTGCTATTGCTGCGCCTACTTTCCTTCCTGCGTACACCTGCATCTGCATTCTACCAGCCGATCATCTCCGTTCTCTCAATCAACAACCTCCAAAGCACGGCAATAGTGTAGTGCAGTAGTCCTATGTTGATTTTTGAGTCGACTCGAGAAAGCACGGCGATAGCCCTGTATAGTAGTCCTCTGTAGTGCGCCAGCAGCCGTCCCGCGTGCCCCTCCGACTGCCGAACCTTGGGGCGTGCGCGCTAGAAGTGGCTTGAAAGTACAGAGGCGTTGACGCAGGAGCATTGACATCAGAGGGTTTGGGATCAGATCAAAGGAGAACGACACTCTTGCTGACCTGCGAACGGCTAGTGAGTGCCGTCACGAGCGCCGGGTCTTAGGGAAAGAGCAACACGAGTTTTGCGAGCGTCGCATGCCCATTTCGTGCATCTAGACATGGCGACGATAGTCGCGCATTCGCGAAGTCGGGTTACCCTGCGTCAGATAGTTCTCTTCGCCGCGCTTGTTTCCCTTCTCACGTCGCCAGCAATTGCCATTCGCGTTGCGCCAGCACCCGCCCCTTCGCCATCCTCCGAGACGGGACCTGTCTACTTGACTGACCCGCTGCCAGAATCCGTCAACCCGTCCGATCGTCAGTCAATCATTGACGGGCTGCTGACAGACCCCCGTGAAGCCAAACTGCCCCCGGGGCTGCAAGTACCGAAGCGGGACACGCTGCCGATCGTGACGGACCCGACATACGTGAACTCGATAGTAGCAGCAGCGGAGGAGCCTGTAGAAGACTTTATAGTGGAGGAGGAGGAGGAGAGGGAGGGGGAGGGGCAGGGGGAGCGGGAGGGGCAGGGGGAGTGGGAGGGGGAGGGGAAGGGGGGAGGGGGAGGGTGACGACGAAGGGAGTGACTCCCAAGGGAGCGCCCGTCTACTTGCACAGCTCCCAGAGTACGACCACCGCTCTTTAGGATCAACTCGCTTTGAGTCGCATCCGTCTATTGTCACGCTCTTTCTACTGCGCCCGTTTACCTGCACAGCTCCCAGAGTACGACCACCGCTCTTTAGAGTCGACTTACTCACAGTCACTTCGGTTCATTGTCATACACTTTACTGATCCTCCCGTCTACTTGCACAGCTCTCAGAGTACCACGGCCGCTCTTTCCGCTCTTTCCGCTCTTTCCGCTCTTTCCGCTCCTGCTCTTCTTCCCCTCCGTCCGCCGCCCCTCCATCCATCCCTCAGCCGTTCCCACATCCCCCGCCGCCTCTCTCCCGCTCGACTGCATTTCAATACTTCGCTCTCCTCCCCTCGTTTCCGCCTCTCCTCCCTTCCCCTCACCCGCTTCCCTCTTTTTACTCCAACCCCCCTTCCCACCACCCCCCTCCTCCCCCCTTCCCCTAGCCCGCCAGTCGCGCCGACGATGGAGCACAAGGCGGTGTGGGGCAAGACGCGGACCTCGCATCGTGATTAGCCGTTCGTCTCTTCAACCCTCCCCCCTTCCTCTCTTCCCCGCCCCCCCCCTTCTTCTCCAGCATCCATCCGCTCCTCTTTCCAACTCTACTCGCGTATACCTCTGCTTGCCTCACCCCCCTCCCCCCTCCCCCCCGCCCGCCAGTCGCGCCGATGATGGAGCTCAAGGCCGTGTGGGGGAAGACGGCGGATCTGTCCACGTGGGTGGCCACCAATCCGTGCGCCACGTGGCAGCTCGTGCAGTGCTGGACGAACGGCTACATCCGTCGCATGGAGATGAGTTATCAGGAGCTCTTCGCCACGCTGCCCTCCGCCATCGGCGCGCTTACCCAGATGGAGGAATTGTGAGTCCCTCCTCCTCACCCGCCGCCGCCGCCGCCGCCGCCACCGCCGCCGTTGCCGCTGCTGCCGCCCCCGCCGCCGCTTCTTAATTTGCCTTCGTGCCTCTCCCCGGTCCCATCACATCACATCCCATCACATCACATCACATCACATCCCATCACATCACATCACATCACATCACATCACATCACATCACATCACATCACATCACATCACATCACATCACATCACATCACATCCCATCACTGCCCATGCCTTCTCCCCGCTGTCTTTTCCTTATGTTTCTCGCCCCTTGTGTGCCGCCCTGTGCGGGCCGCCCCGTGCAATCAGCTTCGCGGTACACACGGCGACATTCCCTCTCGCATGCACCCATGCCTTCTCCCTCAACTGTCTTTTTCCCCATGCCTCTCGCCCCTCCCCTCGCCTCCCCCTCCCCCGCACCAGCTTCGCGGTGAAGAATTGGATCTATGGCGACATTCCTGACTCCTTCAGCAACCTCGTCAACCTCAAGAACCTGTCAGTGCCCCTCTGCCCTGCCCCGCACGCCCCGCACGCCCCGCACGCCCCGCACGCCCCGCACGCCCCGCACGCCCCGCACGCCCCGCACGCCCCGCATGCCCCGCACGCAATGCCCGCCCCGTCTGCCGACTCCCCCTGCCCTCTGCATCACTCCAAACCCTTTCCCTCACGTTCCGTCTCTTCCTCATGCCTTTATTTTCCGCTCTTAACCTCCCCACCCTCTCCCACCCCAACCCCGGACGCTCCCCCTGCCCTCTCCCCTCTGCTCTCACACGTATCTGTCCCCTTCCCCCCCCTCTGTCCCTTTCCATTCCCCCCTTACCCCCTTCCCCCCTCTCCCCGCTTCCCCCCCTCACCCCCACAGGCAGCTGTACCAGAACTTTCTCAACGGCACCATCCCGGCTTCCATGGGCCGCATGACCAGCCTGTACCAGCTGTGAGTGTAACTGGAGACGGAAGGGGTGGGGGGAGACGGAAGGGGTGGGGGGAGAGGGAAGGAGGGGGGGGGGTTGTATGGTGCTGTGACTGTAGCGGGGGGCGGTAGCCATGACCAGCATTTATCAGCAGCCGTGAGTGCTGGCGTCCAGCCTTTATTCCTTCGTTTGAAGGGCTGGGAGCATGGCACGCGCATGTAGGCTGGGAGCATGGCACGCGCATGTAGGCTGGGAGCATGGCACGCGCATGTAGGCTGGGAGCATGGCACGCGCATGTATAAACTCACTGCTCTCGCCATCGTTGCTCCCTCTCTCCCTGTCCCTGTTTGCGTGTGTGCTCACTCTGTGTTCTTCTCTGCCTGTGTGCCCCTGTGCCCTTGTGTGCATGCCGTGTCTGTGCCTCTGTGCCCCTGTGTGCATGCTGTGTGTGTGTGCGTGAATGGCTGCATGGCTGCATGGCTGCATGGCGGGCAGGCATCTGAACCTTAACTACCTCACGGGAGGCATACCAGACACCTTCTCTAACCTTGTCAACATGCAGAAATTGTGAGTCGCCTCTGTGCCTCTGCATGTGCATGTGCATGTGCGTGTGCATGTGCGTGTGCATGTGCGTGTGCATGTGCCTCTGCATGTTCGTGCGCGAATGCACTCCTCACAACCCCTCTTATCCGTCTCTCCTCAACTCCCCTTCTTCTGGTCCTAATATCCACCCTCCTCATCCCCACTCCTCACCACCCCCTCCTCCCGCCCTCCCCGTGCATAACAGCTACGTACCCAGCAACCTGCTCAACTCCACCTTCCCCACCGTCGTTTGCACCATGACCAACCTGCGCCAGCTGTGAGTACTGAACCCACCCCCGCCTCGCTCCTCTCCCCGCCTCTCTCATTGATCCCGTTGACCCCTGTTGACCCCTGTTGACCCCTGTTGACCCCTGTTGACCTGCTTTGCATCCGCTTCTGCACACCCCTCAACCCCCTCCCCCACTCGCCCCTCCAGCCGCCTGAGCGCGAACCGCTTCACAGGGCCCGTGTCGAGCTGCCTCAGTCTTGGGACGTCTCAAACCCCTTCCCCCTCACCTCTTCCTCATCTCGTTTGCCCCACTTCACCCCCCCCTCAACCCGCTCCCCCTCTCTCCCCTCCAGCCGCCTGAGTGCCAATCGCTTCACAGGGCCCGTGTCGAGCTGCCTCGGCCGGCTCAAGAACCTCAACTACATGTGAGCAAAGCACATGTGCACCACCCTCCACCTCTCTGCACCACTCTTCACCACTCCCCACCACTCAATACCACACCGCACCCAGCTCTGGACAGTGATCCGCGCCTTCCATGGTGCCACGCTCTAACCCCATGGCTCTCGGCCTTGCACCCTTGCTCTAGTATCGACTGAGAGAAGTCTAGTTTTGAGGCGCCTCAAAACTAGACCGCTCTAACCCCATGCCTCTCGGCCTTGCACCCTTGCTCTAGTTCCGACCGGCCATATCGCATTCTCCCGTGCCTCTTGCTCTCGCACACTTGCTGACCTCACGCCCTCCGTGCCTCTCCCTCCGCCCCTCCCTCGCCCCTCCCCTCCCACCCACCAGCTACAATCCCAGACACCAGACACCAACAAGTTTGACGGTGTGCTGCCATCCAGCATCGGCGCCATCAAGTTAGGCGCCAGGCACTGACCTCGTGCCCTTACTCCCTCCTCTCCCCTCCCTCCCTCGCCCCCTCCCCTCCCCACCCCACCAGGTACATAGACACGAACAAGTTTGACGGTGTGCTGCCATCCAGCATCGGCACCATCATGCCTCTCACCAACCTGTACGTGCGCATGGGCGTGCTGCATGCGCACATGCACATAGGCGCAGACGCACATGTGCATTTATACTTGCAAGTTCACCAGCCTGCCGTCCAGCATCGGCACCATCATGCCGCTCACCAACCCGTACGTGGCGTGGGGGGGGGTTCGGGCATTTGCACATGGGCATGTGTTGTACGGGGGACTTTTGAGACGTCTCAAATGGCGTGGGGGGGGGTTCGGGCATTTGCACATGGGCATGTGTTGTACGGGGGGGTGCATGTTTTTTGAGACGTCTCAAATGTTGTACGGGGGGGTGCATGTGTGCACACGTGGGGCACTCACCAACCTGTACGTGGCGTGCTGCCCCAACCTGTACGTGGCGTGCTGCCCCAACCTGTACGTGGCGTGCTGCCCCAACCTGTACGTGGCGTGCTGCACCAACCTGTATGTGGCGTGCTGCCCCAACCTGTACGTGGCGTGCTGCCCCAACCTGTATGTGGCGTGCTGCCCCAACCTGTATGTGGCGTGCTGCCCCAACCTGTACGTGGCGTGCTGCCCCAACCTGTACGTGGCGTGCTGCCCCAACCTGTACGTGGCGTGCTGCACCAACCTGTACGTGGCGTGCTGCACCAACCTGTACGTGGCGTGCTGCCCCAACCTGTACGTGGCGTGCTGCCCCAACCTGTATGTGGCGTGCTGCCCCAACCTGTATGTGGCGTGCTGCCCCAACCTGTACGTGGCGTGCTGCCCCAACCTGTACGTGGCGTGCTGCACCAACCTGTACGTGGCGTGCTGCACCAACCTGTACGTGGCGTGCTGCCCCAACCTGTACGTGGCGTGCTGCACCAACCTGTACGTGGCGTGCTGCCCCAACCTGTACGTGGCGTGCTGCACCAACCTGTACGTGGCGTGCTGCACCAACCTGTACGTGGCGTGCTGCCCCAACCTGTACGTGGCGTGCTGCCCCAACCTGTACGTGGCGTGCTGCCCCAACCTGTACGTGGCGTGCTGCCCCAACCTGTATGTGGCGTGCTGCCCCAACCTGTATGTGGCGTGCTGCCCCAACCTGTACGTGGCGTGCTGCCCCAACCTGTACGTGGCGTGCTGCACCAACCTGTACGTGGCGTGCTGCACCAACCTGTACGTGGCGTGCTGCCCCAACCTGTACGTGGCGTGCTGCACCAACCTGTACGTGGCGTGCTGCCCCAACCTGTCTGTACGTGGCGTGCTGCCCCAACCTGTACGTGGCGTGCTGCCCCAACCTGTACGTGGCGTGCTGCCCCAACCTGTCTGTACGTGGCGTGCTGCCCCAACCTGTACGTGGCGTGCTGCCCCAACCTGTACGTGGCGTGCTGCCCCAACCTGTACGTGGCGTGCTGCCCCAACCTGTACGTGGCGTGCTGCCCCAACCTGTACGTGGCGTGCTGCCCCAACCTGTACGTGGCGTGCTGCCCCAACCTGTACGTGGCGTGCTGCCCCAACCTGTACGTGGCGTGCTGCCCCAACCTGTACGTGGCGTGCTGCCCCAACCTGTACGTGGCGTGCTGCCCCAACCTGTACGTGGCGTGCTGCCCCAACCTGTACGTGGCGTGCTGCCCCAACCTGTATGTGGCGTGCTGCCCCAACCTGTATGTGGCGTGCTGCCCCAACCTGTACGTGGCGTGCTGCCCCAACCTGTACGTGGCGTGCTGCCCCAACCTGTACGTGGCGTGCTGCCCCAACCTGTACGTGGCGTGCTGCACCAACCTGTACGTGGCGTGCTGCCCCAACCTGTACGTGGCGTGCTGCCCCAACCTGTATGTGGCGTGCTGCCCCAACCTGTATGTGGCGTGCTGCCCCAACCTGTACGTGGCGTGCTGCCCCAACCTGTACGTGGCGTGCTGCCCCAACCTGTACGTGGCGTGCTGCACCAACCTGTACGTGGCGTGCTGCCCCAACCTGTACGTGGCGTGCTGCACCAACCTGTACGTGGCGTGCTGCCCCAACCTGTACGTGGCGTGCTGCACCAACCTGTACGTGGCGTGCTGCACCAACCTGTACGTGGCGTGCTGCCCCAACCTGTACGTGGCGTGCTGCCCCAACCTGTACGTGGCGTGCTGCCCCAACCTGTACGTGGCGTGCTGCCCCAACCTGTACGTGGCGTGCTGCCCCAACCTGTATGTGGCGTGCTGCCCCAACCTGTATGTGGCGTGCTGCCCCAACCGCGTGCTGCCCCAACCTGTACGTGGCGTGCTGCACCAACCTGTACGTGGCGTGCTGCACCAACCTGTACGTGGCGTGCTGCCCCAACCTGTACGTGGCGTGCTGCCCCAACCTGTATGTGGCGTGCTGCCCCAACCTGTATGTGGCGTGCTGCCCCAACCTGTACGTGCGCGGATCCGGGCGGTACCATGCCCCGAAGCAAGCCATTTATATATTGAGTTGACTCCACATCACCATACTCCTCTAGTCATCTCCCATCACCATACTCCTCTAGTCATCTCCCATCACCATACTCCTCTAGTCATCTCCCATCACCATACTCCTCTAGTCATCTCCCATCACCATACTCCTCTAGTCATCTCCCATCACCATAGTCCTCTAGTCATCTCCCATCACCATACTCCTCTAGTCATCTCCCATCACCATACTCCTCTAGTCATCTCCCATCACCACCATACCTCTCACAACAATCATGCTTTTCACAGTCAGATGTATCAACCAGAGAAGGGCAATCAGTCAGATGTATCAACCAGAGAAGGGCAATCAGTCAGATGTATCAACCAGAGAAGGGCAATCAGTCAGATGTATCAACCAGAGAAGGGCAATCAGTCAGATGTATCAACCAGAGAAGGGCAATCAGTCAGATGTATCAACCAGAGAAGCGCAATCCATTCCTTCCACATCACCCTCCCTTCCCTCCACCTCCCTTTTCTGCAACAGACTATTACAGAAGCTCAGTAACACTCTCCCTGACCTTCCCTCACCCTCTCTCTCCCATACTCCCCTTCCCACTCCTCCTCCCTCCCCCACAAACCCTCCCGCCCGTGCCTCACAGGTTCATCAATCAGAACAGCTTCATCGGTCCTTCATGTTTCACTCACCTCACGTGCCGCCTGCCGTCCCCCGACGCCCTCCACCTTCTCCCCCCTCTGCCGCTTGCTGCTCACAGGTTCATCAATCAGAACAGCTTCATCGGTCCCCTCCCCATTGCCCTCACGCGTCTCACCAACCTCAACATCCTGTGAGCCCCCACCACCTTTGCCCATCCTCTTATCCCTGCTCGCCTCTGCCCATTCACTTGTTTCCTGTAAGCCCCCCAACGTCCATGCAACCTCAGCACATCTCTCTCTCTCAAACGGCCCCTCTCCTCCCTCTCTTTCTCTCTCCCCCTTCCCCCCTCTCCTCTACCAATCAGCTTCATGAGCAGCAACCCCTATCTGGACGGCCCTCTGCCCGCCAATCTCGGCAACATGAAGAGCCTCACTGACCTGTACGTGCTTGCCTCCTCACCGATCCTCACCGCTCTTCACCGCTCCTCACTGCCAATCTGGGCAACATGAAGAGCCTCACCGACCTGTACGCTTCTTCCCAGCTCGTCTCCTCACCGCCTCCTCACCACCTCACGGGTTTTCAGCACGGCTGCTGCTGTTGCTGCTGCCATGATTGCCATGATTGCCATGACCCTCTGCTTCTGCCACCCATTCTGCTGCTACAGCCGCTTACCACCATGTTTCTCTGTACATGTCAAAATTCTTCTGCTGCAGAGCCGCGGAGATAAGGAGGTAGTCAACCACGTCTCAACTCTCACTACCACATCCCCATCTTTACCATCCTTCCTTCTCGTCAGAGTTCTTCTCTCCTCTCTCTCCTTCCCCCCCACCACACCCCACCCTTCCCCACCTGGTCCGACTACAGGGTGTCTGAGTTTGCTTCATTAAACGCACCATCCCTGCAACCATCTTCTCTCCTCTCGTTCCTTTACCCCCCTCTCTCCCTCACACCCTTCCCCACCTGGTCCGACTACAGGGTGTCTGAGTTCGCCCCATTAAACGGCACCATCCCTGCAACAATCTCCAAGCTCACCAAGCTCTCGCGCATGTACGCACCAAGCTCTCACGCATGTACGCACCAAGCTCTCACACATGTATGCACCTTGCCGCACCATATGGCATGCATCACTCCATGCCGCACCATGTGGCATCCATCACTCCATGCCGCACTCATCACATCACACCATGCCGTGCCAAGGCCTTCTTGTGCTCAGCTCATCTTTCCGCGGAATTGCCCACCTTTGCCTCACTTCGTGCCTCCGATACATCCTTTTCCCCGCTACCTTCCCTTCTCTCAAGTTTTCCTCCCTCCCTCTCCCCTCTCCCCTTCCCCCTTCCCCCTTCCCCTTCCCCTTCCCCTTCCCCCTTACTCCTCGCCCTTCCTCCTCCCCCTTTCCTCTCCCCCCCTTTGCCTCTCAGTCTGTTGGACAACGGCCAGCTCACGGGCACCATCCCGGACGGCATCAGCCGTCTCAAAGAGCTCACCGTGCTGTGAGTGCCTGCCATGCGGCTGTGAGTCCCTAGCATGCTGCCTTGCTCCATGAGTGGACTTGTGTTGCTCATATGCCAGCTCACGGGCACCACCCCGGACGGCATCAGCCGTCTCAAAGAGCTCACCGTTCTGTGAGTGCCTGCCATGCAGCTGTGAGTCCCTAGCATGCTGCCTTGCTCCATGAGTGGACTTGTGTTGCTCATATGCCAGCTCACGGGCACCACCCCGGACGGCATCAGCCGTCTCAAAGAGCTCACTGTTCTGTGAGTGCCTGCCCGGCTGCTGCATGAGTATTCATTGGTGCACTGCTGCATGAGTATTCATTGGTGCACTGCTGCATGAGTATTCATTGGTGCACTGCTGCATGAGTATTCATTGGTGCACTGCTGCTTTGAGTGCCTCACTGCTGCTGTTAGTGCCTGCCCTGCTTTGCTGCATCAGTCCCTCTTCTGTTGTTTAGTTGCATGCGTCCCTCCTCTGCTGCCTTGCTCCATTGAGTCATTAGTGCTTTGCTGTGCCTCATGCCATGCTGCCTCATGCCATGCTGCCTCATGCCATGCTGCCTCATGCCATGCTGCCTCATGCCATGCTGCCTCACGTCATGCTGCCTCATGCCATGCTGCCTCACGTCATGCTGCCTCATGTCATGCTCGCTCTCTCCCCATGTCTTACACCACACTTGTTACCTCTTCACACCAGACTCATCCACACTCTCGCCCATCTTCCCCCACCCTCGCCCATCTTCCCCCACCCTCGCCCATCTTCCCCCACCCTCTCCCACCTTTCCCCACCCTCTCCTGTCTTCCCCCACCCTCTTCCACCTTCCCCCACCCTCGCCCATCGTGTGCCTCGCAGCTACCTCGAGAGCAGCGATCTCTATGCCTTGTGTTTGTTTCTTTGCTCTCTCCATTCCTCCTCTTCTCTCTCTCTTCTCCAATATCCTTTCACCCTCCTCCCCTCGCCCATCGTGCGCCTCGCAGCTACCTGGAGAGCAATGATCTCTATGGCTCCCTCCCTCGAGGCATCCTTGCTCCTGCACCACACATGTTACCTCTACACCATATCTTATCTTCACACCATATACATCCACTATCCACCCTCTATCAGCTACCTTGAGAACAACGATCTCTGTGGCTCCCTTCCTCGAGGCATCCTTGCTCTGCCCAAACTAAACCTTCTGTAAGCTCAGTCCCATGTGGGCTCACTCCCATGTGAGCTCACTCCCACGTGAGCATGCAAGCTTTGCTCCACTGCGACCAGCTATCACCTCCCCCTTCCTTTGATCCATTCCCCCCTCACCAATGTCCTGCTTTCTGCATCGTTTCTCTCCTCTCCTCAACCCTCCTCCTCTCTCTCCTATCTCTCCTCCGCCTTCTCTGCCCCATCAGTCCACCCTACCAGAACCCTTCTCTCTATAGCACCTCAAAAGCCTCTCCTCCTCCTTGTCCCCCTGTCCCCCTGCACCCTCCACCCCCCCACAACAGCAATCTACACGACAACATGCTGTCTGGTCCGCTCCCAACCGGCTTCAAGAACGGCACCATCCTCTCAGCGGGCCAATGCAATCTGCACCACAACTTCTTCTACGGTCCTGGTTCAGTAACTGCCGGTGGCGTCATCTCATTTCCACAAACTGACGTCTCTCCCGTTGCTCTCCCTCCCTCATCCCCCCCCCCCCCCCTCCTCTCCCAACAGCAATCTATACGATAACATGCTGTCCGGTCCGCTCCCAATCGGTTTCAAGAATGGAACCATCCTCTCAGCCGGCCAATACAACCTGCACCACAACTTCCCCAACCAACCTAGCTCTGCTGTTGCTCCCCTTACCCCACCCACCCCCCAACAGCAACCTACACGACAACATGCTATCCGGCCCACTCCCCACTGGTTTCAAGAACGGAACCATCCTCTCAGCCGGCCAATACAACCTGCACCACAACTTCTTCTACGGTCCTGCTTCCGTCACTGCCGGTGGTGTCACCTCCTGCCCTCAAGACCAGACCCGCCGAGGCATCTTCTACCAGTCGTCCATCACATACAACTGCCTCACATACCCCAACACCTCCGCGTGTTACCAGGCGGGGAAGGTGCAAACCCAGGTTGCTGCGAGCACGTGCAAGAGGTTTTGCAATGCGGGGGAGAACCCGTGCGGGGGGCACGGGGCGTGCTGGTTTGCCAAGGGGGTGGATCCGAACTGTTTGTGTAACGCGGGGTATGTTCGGACAGCTGACAAGCAGTCCTGTGTGAAGAAACCCAAGGGGCGGAAGAGGAAGTGAGACCTACCGTGACTGCCAGGTGTCTTCCACGTAAGTCGACTCAGAAGTCACCTGGTTTGCCAAGGGGGGAGAGATGGGGGAGGGGGAGGGTGGGGGTGGGGTTGGACCCGAACTGTCTGTATGACAGTGGGTATGTGCAAAATCAACCAGCGACTGACTGACTTGTGTGTCGATTCAGAAGGCACCCAGCACGTGCGGGGCTCTTTGCGCCGGAGTGCACATGCGGGGCTCTTTGCGCCGGAGTGCACGTGCAGGGCTCTTTGCGCCGGAGTGCACGTGCGGGGCTCTTTGCGCCGGAGTGCACGTGCAGGGCTCTTTGCGCCGGAGTGCTTTGGCAGTACCGTAGGCTGGGTGGGAGATCGTTGGGTCGCCTGAGAGGACCTTCTGCTCTGGTCCGGTCTGGGGGTCCTTCTGCTGTTGCTGGTTTTGAGGCGTCTTACAGTAGATATATGTTGTACGGCACGCAGGGGAGGCAGAATCGAATACAGTATGTCGCTGCTGCTGCTGCTGCTGCTGCTGCTGCTGCTGCTGCTGCTGCTGCTGCTGCTGCTGCTGCTGCTGCTGCTGCTGCTGGTTATGGATCCAATCCAAGCCATGGCTGCATGCATGAGGAATGCCATGTGGCACGTTGTTGTATTATAGGTCTGGCCTCTTGCTAACTCTGGAAATTATCATACCCATAGCTTGTTGTAATAGTATGAATCATTTTCTGTACTCTGAAAAAGTGGAAGCCATACGTACTTAGTTGGGTTGTACAGTCACTAGGTTATCTGAGTGGTGTGGGTAAATGCATTCTTATATAGGTAATTGCGCCCAAATCTTGTGTTCCCCTCCAACTGAAAGGCGGCAAACTGTTACGAGTGCAATTGACCGAGCGAGCAAGAATTGCACTAAAGAAGCAAACAGTACAATGAGCGAAGGCATGAGCGAAGAATATATAGCGAAGGCATGAGCGAAGAATATATAGCGAAGCTACAGTGGTAACGGTAATGCATGAAATTGGGGTGCACGATGGGCCTAGCTGTCAAACTATATGTTTGTGTTCTCTCGAGGCTATAGTGGGTTAGCCTACAAGGGGTACAACACGTTAAGGTTAATACTTGTACCCAACTCATTCATAGTTCATTCATTCCTACACAGTTACTCTGATATGGTATTCAGAGCAGGAAACCTGTTAAGTTTTTAGGGCCCACCGATTATTCCGCTCGTTCCTGCCCGAAGCGCCCTTGCGCTGTCCGGCCCTGCTCGCACAGTGGCAAGCTGCCCTGCAGCTACTCGCACTGCCTGCCCCCCGCACGTCGCGCCCTGCTGCAGCCCGCACATCGGGCTCTGCTGCTCCACGCGTCACGCCCTGCTGCAGCCCGCACGTCGCGCCCTGCTGCAGCCAGCGCGTCGCGCCCTACTGCAGCCAGCGCGTCGCGCTCTGCTGCCCTGCGCATCGCGCCTTGCTGCAACCAGCGCGTCGCGCCCTACTGCAGCTAGCGCGTCGCGCCCTGCTGCCCTGCGCGTCACGCCCTACTGCAGCCAGCGCGTCGCGCCCTGCTGCAGCCAGCGCGTTGCGCTCAGCTGCCCTATGCGTCGCGCCCTGCTGCAACCAGCACGTCGCGCCCTACTGCAGCCAGTGCGTCACGCTCTGCTGCCCCGCGCGTCGCGCCCTGCTGCCCTGTCCACCGCGTGCCCTGCCCTGCAGCCCGCGGCGCGCCCTGCCTTGCCCAGCCGCGCCGCCCAGCCCGGCCGAGCCGCGCCGCCCAGCCCGAGCCGCCCTGCCCAACCTGAGCCGCGCCGCCCTACCTCGATCACCAGCCCCACCGAGCAGCCCTGCTGCTACTACTGTTGCTGCTGCTACTGCTGCTGCTCGTGCTATTGCTGCTGCTGGTGGAGGTGCTGCCAGGAGTGCTGGGAGTGCTGCTGGTGCTGGGGGTGCTGCTGGTGCTGGAGGTGCTGGACCGCCCAGGAGAGGCAGCTTTGCGAGTGGGTTTAGGGACAAGCCGCCCCGGGAGAGGCAGCTTCGCGAGCGGCGGTCGCTGAAGAACCCACTCGCGCTCTTACGCTGAGGCGATCGCGTGTGAGTACTCCTCTCAGTGGCAGACAGCCATGGACGCAGAGATGGCTTCCTGGAAGTCCACAGGCACCTACGTCGACGAGGTTCCCCCTCCTGGAGCGAACATAGTCGATGGCATGTGGATTTTCAGAGTGAAGCGGCCGCCGGGTTCTCCGCCTGCCTTCAAGGCGCGTTACGTTGCTCGAGGCTTCATTCACCGACAGGGGGTCGACTTCTTCCAGACCTTCCCCCCCACCCCGAAGATGACCACTCTTCGGGTGCTGCTGCACATTGCAGCACAGCATGACTACGAGCTGCACTCCCTCGACTTCTCCACAGCTTTCCTGTAGGGCAGCCTTCACGAGGAGATCTGGCTGCACCGCCCACCTGGCTTCACTGGGTCGTTTCCTGCGGGTACCCAATGGAGCCTCCGGTGGCCAGTCTACGGTCTCTGCCAGGCGCCCCGAGAGTGGCACGACACACTGAGGACTACACTTGCGGCTCTTGGGTTTGCTCCTTCCTCTGCTGACCCGTCGCTGTTTCTACGCACCGACACTACCCTGCCGCCGTTCTACGTTCTCGTGTACTTCGACGACTTGGTTTTTGCTATTGCTGACACCAAAGCGCTGGCCCCAGTGAAGGCGGAGCTGCAGGAGAGCCACACGTGCACTGACCTGGGAGAGCTGCGTAGCTATCTTGGCTTGCAGATCACCCGGGATCGAGCATGGTGCACCATCACCCTGACTCAGTCACACATGGTGCACCAGGTCCTTCAGTGCTTCGGCTTCCAGTTCTTCTCGCCACAGCCCACTCCTCTGTCTACCGGCCACTCGCGCTCTACTCCACCTTTGGACGAGTCCGTAGAGCTGAGTGGTCCGTACCCAGAGCTTGTGGGTTGCCTCATGTACCTGATGACGTGCACACGACCTGACCTCGCGTACCCTCTCAGCCTCCTGGCTCGCTACGTGGTTCCCGATAGACACTGAAAGGTGCACTGGGATGCCGCGAAGAGGGTACTGCGTTACTTGTGTAGTACGTCGGGCATGGGGCTCGTGCTTGTAGGACAGGGTTCAGTGGTACTCACAGGACACTCCGACGTTTCTTGGGTCGACGACCAGGCGACTCAACGTTCGTCACAGGGTTACACCTTCAGTCTTGGCTCTGGTTATGTCTCGTGGAGGTCCACTCATTCTTCTTCTGTGCTTGGTTCCATCTGTAAGGCCGAGATCTACGCTGGGGCCATGGCTGTACAGGAGCTACGCTGGCTGATCTACCTGCTGACCGACTTGGGGGAGCGGCCTCGTTCTCCTCCAGTTCTGTACGTCAACAACAATGCAATTGAGATAGTTCCAGGTTTGAGATAGTTCCCCTCCAAAAAATGAGATAGTTGGGAAGCGAAGGTGTGGGTGCGGTCCGAGAGGAGATCGTAGGCTCAGAATACCAAGTGTTACGAGTGCAATTGAGCGAGCGAGCGAGAATTGCACTATCGAATAAAACAGTACAATGAGCGAAGGCATGAGTGAAGAATATATAGCGAAGCTACAGTGGTAACGGTAATGCGTGAAATTGGGGAGCGCGACGGGCCTAGCGCCGAGGTTAGGAATTGTCAAGGCGGAGGTCCGGAGCGCGGGTTACCAACCGAACCGTGAGGTTGGGTCGCATCGTGAACAGTGGCGGGAACAGTAGTCGAGGCGAGTGTCGCGAGTGGTAACAGTTTACTGTTGGGTGCTGTTGGCGGGAACAGTGGTGTACGCGCTGAGCAGGGACGCGAAGTAAGGAAAAAGAATATTCCTTACACAAACGAACAAGTTTCCCTGAGTCCAGACAAACACTGAGGTAGCTGGGGAAGCCGCTTCTACTCTGTTGCGAATTGACCTGGCCTGTGCTCCCTGCAATGCCATGGAGACTCGAATGTTGTAGGTGCTCTCAAATGCAGAAGCTAATACACCGTCTGCTGTCCCATAGTCGACATGCCGTGCCGCTGCCCGGTGACTGCAATCCCTCAAGAAGGTCTTAAAATCGCTCCCCAAGCCTCCGAAAGTCTCTAGTACAAGCGGAATGAGCTTTACTGCAGGTCGGGGGCGTAGTGCTGTAGCATAGTGAGACCGCTTCTCCGCCTCTCGCTGTTTTGCAGCCAAGCCAACTGTGTGCACGACTGTTGGTGGAGCGGATGGAGCTATGGGTCAGCAACGGAGATATCCAAGGCCCACTTGATCCCTGCGGATGGATCAAGGCATGTGACATCAGGAATAGCGTCAGGCAGTAACGTGGGGTCTTCCATACGAACCGTGTAACCAACCTCCCTGGTAATCCTAGCTACTTCGTGCTTGACGGCATCTTGCACTCGGGTTGGCACGTGAAGGTCAGGGCAGCGGAGTGCATGGCTAGGGAGGGTGGGATTAGAGTAGGTGTGTCCACAGGAGTAGGGCGGGGCTTCTTCGAGAAGGTGGAGGTGGGGGATAGGGAGGCCTAGGCGGATCTTTGCTGCAATGAGCCAATCTGCAGGCTCCAGCTGCGCGTGGGGGGCAGAGGGTACAGCTGTGAGCCAAGCACCGACAGACAGGTCCTGAAAAGAGGTTAAACATACCATCTGATGGTGTTGGGTGGCGGCTGCACGCAACTGCTTGTGCAGTTGTCTTTATTGCACGTTTGCAGAACGTGCAACCATTTTCATTGCACATTCGCGCCTACTCAAGCACAATGCCTGGACAGAGTTGATTTGTGCCACGATCGCACAGCTGTACAGTTGACGCGCTCTTGGTCGCACGAATCCTAAACCGTCAAAACCCAAAAGTGTCCCGACCTCGAACCGCGTGGCTGAACATTGAAATGTCAAAGTTAAAAGTGCGCACCGCGTGTCCCAAATTCGGATGGTGTCCGGGCCAAGAATGCGACCTAAGTGGACGAGAAAAGCCAGAGGACAGAGAACAGCAAGAGCTCTAGGCTACACGATGTCAGGAGTGGGATTTGAACCCACGCCCTTGCGGACCAGTACCTGAAACTGGCGCCTTAGACCAACTCGGCCATCCTGACACATGTCTCAGTGGAAAGTTTATTTATTCAACTAATATATTTTTGTACCTTTTGCAAGTTGTAGGACGCACAATTACCAACGTTAGAGACCATGGCTCCCAGCGATGAGCTCGAGGCTTTACGGCAAGCCGTCGTGGCGAAACAAGAGGAGGTTACCACGCAAGGCGACACCGTGCGAGCCCTGAAAGCCGCTAAGGCCGATCGCGCGGAGATCGACGCGGCGATCGAGAAGCTCAAGCACTTAAAGATAGACCTCGAGTCGTCAACGAAAGCATTCACGGCGAAATCGGAGGCGGAAGGAGGAGGGAAGGGCAAGGATGCGAGCATCAACCGCGAGGCGTTCCGGCAGGCCGTGAACAATGCGCTGGAGCGTCGGCTGTTTATCATTCCGAGCTTCAAGATCTATGGCGGCGTGGCAGGGCTGTTCGACTACGGCCCGCCCGGCTGCGCCGTCAAGTCGAATGTGCTCGCATTCTGGCGCCAGGTGCGGTCCGAGACCGGTGGGATCTGAGTTAGTGCAATGTGAGAGGTGTGATCTGAGACAGGTTTACCTGCGAGGGGTGATCTGAGGCGGTTTCGACCTGAGAGGGGTGATCTGAGACAGGTGCGATCCGGCACAGGCGCGATCTGATTAAAATGATCTTCGGAAACGGTCACATGGATACGGATTTTTTCCTAATGAGCACATTAGCCGACCGCGACTCACGGCTGATCTCGCATGACTGATCCTTCTATCATGAATGACGAACATATTATCTAAAAGGACGTCGTAGACGCTTGCTTTCGCACCTGCGCGTGTCGATCCGCGCGTGTTAAAACGTCTGGCACGTGTTGCGCATGTGTCAGGCATAAACCCTCAACCGCGCAGTCATTTTCATGCGGACCTTTCCAGCGGTCCCTCCACGCCTGGCGGTCCCTCCACGCCTGTCGTTGACGCTGACAATCTCTCCTCGCCGTCATCCGTCCCCGCTCGTCCTCTTTGCTCACAACCCTCCCCCCAACTCCTTCTCCCCAGCACTTCGTCTTAGAAGAGAACATGCCCTCCCTCTCCCCCCTTCCTTTGCAGCACTTCGTCCTGGAAGAAAATATGCTCGAAGTGGATTGCCCGTGCGTCACCCCCGACGCTGTCCTCCGCGCGTCAGGCCACGTGGACAAGTTCAAGGACCTCATGTTCAAGGACGTGAAAACCCAGGCGTGCTACCGCATTCCGCCTCTTCTCCCCAACCCCCCCGCTCTCTTCCCCGTTTCCTCCCCCGCCGTCCCCCCTTGACAGCACTTCGTGTTGGAGGAGAACATGCTCGAAGTCGACTGCCCGTGCGTCACCCTGGGCGCAGTCCTGCGAGCATCAGGCCACGTGGACACGTTCACGGACCTCATGGTCAAGGACGTTAAAACCCAAGCCTGCTACCGCGTTTCTTCCGCCTCTTCATTCCCTGCCCTCTCTTTCTCCCTGTTCCCCCCGCCGCCCCCCTCTCCCTGGCAGCACTTCCTGGAAGAAAACATGCTGGAGGTCGACTGCCCGTGTGTGACGCCAGACGCGGTCCTCCGCGCATCAGGCCACGTGGACAAGTTCACGGACCTCATGGTGAAGGACGTCACTCTCCGCCTCCCTCCCTCCCATTCCCCCTTGACAGCACTTCGTGTTGGAGGAGAACATGCTCGAAGTCGACTGCTCGTGCGTCACCCCCGATGCAGTCCTCAGAGCGTCAGGCCACGTGGATAAATTCACGGACCTCATGGTCAAGGACGTCAACACCCACGCCTGCTACCGCATTCCGCCTCTTTCCCCGACGTCCCCCCTGGCACTGGCAGCACTTCGTGTTGGAAGAGAACATGCTGGAGGTGGATTGCCCGTGCGTCACGCCCGACGCTGTCCTCAGAGCGTCAGGCCACGTGGACAAGTTCACGGACCTCATGGTGAAGGACGTGAAGACGCAGGCGTGCTACCGCGCGGACCATCTCCTTAAAGACCACCTCGGGGAGCTCCTAGAGAAGGAGGTGACAATGGCGCCCGAGCGGCGCGAGGAGATCAAGCACGTGCTGGCCGTGCTGGATGAGTACGGTGCAGAGGAGTTGGACGGGAAGCTGAAGGAGTTCGGGGTGAAGGCTCCGGATACCAAGAATGATCTCTCTGCTCCATACCCGTTCAACCTCATGTTTTCAACTGCTATTGGCCCCACAGGGTTGCTGCACGGGTGAGTGGGGGTAGCGTCTTGGGGGATTAACATGTGCCCCATCAGCTGGACACGAAGAATGACCTGTTCAGCACTGCCATTGGCCCCACGGGGCTGCTGCACGGGTGAGGCATGAGAGGGGCTGGTGCGTTAGGGTTATACCATGAGGTTAGGGTGGGTGGGTGGTAGAGATTGAGGTGTACCCGTTCAACCTCATGCCGTCCACTGCCACCGTCCCACGGGCTTTCTGCATCCCCTTACTCCCATGGGCTCATTCCACATTCACTGCTCTCCCACACCCACTCCCTGTCTCCCATCAACCCTTTCACCCCTGCTCAGCTACCTCCGTCCCGAGACAGCGCAGGGCATATTCGTGAACTTCAAGGATCTGCTGTACTACAACGGTGGCAAGCTGCCCTTTGCTGCTGCTCAGATCGGCCAGGCCTTCCGCAACGAGGTGCGATGCTGGCGGGTGTGGTGCGGGGGGATGTAGTGCGGTACTGGGGGGTGTCGTGCGTCGCCGGGAGGTGTGGTGCGCTGTTGGGATTGGGGCGTGAGCAGGGCTGCTGTCATTGTGATGTGAGCCCCATGAACGAATCCCGCCTGCCATTTCAACGCCTTTGCACACCTCTCGTTCCTTGTACCAACCTTCCCCATCCCAACCCCACCGCACACGTCCCCACAGCGGGTCTGCTGCGAGTGAGTGAGTTCACGCTAGCGGAGATCGAGCACTTTGTGAGCCCCAGACAAGTCCCTCCCTTATCTCACCCCGCCCCCTTCCTTACACCACTCATCCCCAACCCCACTGCTCCCACAGATCGCCCCCAGAGCGGGTCTGCTGCGAGTGCGTGAGTTCACGCTAGCAGAGATCGAGCACTTTGTGAGCCCCGCCGACAAGTCCCACCCGCGCTTCTCCTCGGTGGCCGACCTCTCCTTCCTGCTCTACCCGCGCGCGGAGCAGCTGGGACCCAAACAGCCCGTCACCATGCGGCTCGGGGATGCTGTGGAGAAGGTACGAAACTCAGACTGCGAGCGGATTAGCTTGGGCCCAAATAGGCCATTACGATGCGACTAGGAAAATGCTGTTGAGGGGAATGCTGTTGAGGGGAATGCTGTTGAGGGGAAAGCCATTGAGGCCGTGTGGAGAGGAGAAACGCCTTGTCGTCCCCCTTGGGGATGCTGCCCACTCGATGGCAGGAGAACAGTATACGGCAGCTTATTGCGGGCATACCACCTACACCCACGTTCCTCTTCCTCTTCCTATTTCTCCTCCAAACTGACAATCTTCAACCTCTGTCTCAACCCCCAATTCCCCTACTCCCCACTATCTGTTATGAGGGCGTGATCAACAACGAGACCCTGTTTTGAGACGTCTCAAAACACTTCTCAACAACAACAAAACACTTCTTCAATCACGTACTCCCCACTATCTCTTATCAGGGCATGATCAACAACGAGACCCTGGGCCACTTCATCGGGCGCACGTTCCTCTTCCTGTCTCGCCTGGGCATCGACCCGCAGCTCCTGATGTTCCCCCCTGACTCTCCCTACTCGCTAACCCCTATTTCACCCCCCTCTATGACAGGGCATAATCAACAACGAGACTCTCGGGTACTTCATCGGGCGCACGTTCCTCTTCCTGTCCCGCCTGGGCATCGATCCGCAGCGCCTGCGCTTCCGCCAGCACCTGCAGCACGAGATGGCGCACTATGCCACGGACTGCTGGGATGCTGAGATCGAATGCTCGTACGGCTGGGTGGAGTGCGTTGGTCTGGCTGATCGCTCTGCCTTCGATCTTAAGGCGCACACGGTGAGTGGGGTTGCAGCAGCTCTGGCAGCACCTGCCTGCAGCACCTGCAGCACCTGCAGCACGGGACGGCACACTATGCCACGGACTGCTGGGATGCTGAGATTGAATGCTCGTATGGATGGGTGGAGTGCTTTGGGCTGGCTGACCGATCCGCCTTCGACCTCAAGGCGCACACGGTGAGGGTTGAGAGTTGAAAGCAGCACGAGAGCGGGCTGTTGATGCAGGTTAGTCGGGCAGCTGTTGCACCTGCAGCACCCCTAGCAGCACAGGCAGCACCGCCAGCACCTGCAGCACGAGATGGCGCACTATGCGACCGATTGCTGGGATGCTGAGATCGAATGCTCGAACGGCTGGGTGGAGTGCGTTGGTCTGGCTGATCGCTCTGCCTTCGACCTCAAGGCGCACACGGTGAGTGGGGTAGAGCAGCAACAGCACCTGCAGCACCAGCAGCAGCACTGGTAGCATCTGCAGCACGAGATGGCGCACTATGCCACGGACTGGTGGCATATGAGAAGTTCCCCAAGCCACAAGGATCCAAGCTCGTACTGAAAGTGAGGTGGCGGCAGTGGAGTATGAGTGAAGATGAGCACACGCGGCATGGTCCGATTCCTGTTCTAGGTTTCCAGCCCCCATTCCCCCTTCCTCTCCCTCCCCTCCAGTGCCCACACTCACGAACAGGAGAAGAGCAAGGTGGAGCTGGTGGCGTATGAGAAGTTCTCCGAGCCACGCGAGGTGGAGGTGGAAATAGTTCCAACTTGCAACTTCCCCTCCTCTCCATTGCCCCTTCCTGCCCTTGCTTTGCACGCACTGCAACAGGAGAAGAGCAAGGTGGAGCTGGTGGCGTATGAGAAGTTCCCTGAGCCACGTGAGGTGGAGGTGATGAGCATCGTTCCCAGCAAGAAGGACATTGGCAAGGCCTTTAAGCGCGATGCCAAGCTCATTGCCGAGTCCCTCGAGGTGCGTTCAGTCAAGAGGTTGGTGCCTGCCTGTTTACTGATAGACTACATCACATCACACCGGGCCATGCCACACTACAGCCCAGCAAGAAGGACATTGGCAAGGCCTTCAAGCGCGATGCCAAGCTCATTGCCGAATCACTCGAGGTGCGTTCTCACAAGAGGTCTCTGTATGTCCCGTGACATGCCACTAAGCCATGCCACGTCACACTACGCCATGCCACGTCACACTACGCCATGCCACATCAGACTAGGCCATGCCACGTCACACTATGCCACACCATCGCCTGTAACACTAACCCTCTTATGCATCCTTCCATTCCCCAGGCTATGTCAGAGGCAGATGCACTGGCAATGAAAGCAACGCTTGAGGCGGATGGCAAGGTGGAGTACACGCCGTGTGGGGGCAGCCAGGCGTTCAGCCTCAGCAAGGAGATGGTCGCCATTAGCAAGGAGAAGAAGAAGCTGCAGGTGAGATGGTGGTGCGAAGTGGTATGGTGGGGAGATGGTTTGGACGGAGGGTAGGTGGGATGAAGTGGGCTTGAGTCGTCAGGGCGAGCCAGGCGTTCAGCTCAGCAAGGAGATGGTCGCCATTAGCAAGGAGAAGAAGAAGCTTCAGGTGGGGTGTGTGGCTAAGGGAGTTCACTGGGCGCACCTTGTCTCATGCTGCCCCTTGCGACCGTCTCTCAGCTGTGAGCGACAGTGAAAGCAACAGCAGAGCAGCTTGTGCGAGCTCTCAAGAGTGGCTCGCCTGCAGCTCTGTTCCTCCTCCCCCTTTTTCCCCTCTCAATCTCTCTCCCCACCCATCACCCCTTGTCACACCCATCCAAAGCACCATGGTTCCCCTCTCCCTCTCCTTTCCTCGCCATTGACATACTCCCTTTTCCACCTCGCACCCTGTCTTCCTCACCTCCTCCCCCCACTCCTCCAGGGCCAATCCTTCACTCCATCAGTAACCGAGCCGTCGTTCGGCATCGGGCGCATCATCTACGAGCACTGCTTCTACTCCCGCCCCTCATCCCCCTTCCTCCCTTCCCCTTTGTCCTCCGCTCCCCTCCTTCCCCTCCTCAGGGCCAATTATTCACCCCATCCGTGATAGAGCCCTCATTCGGCATAGGGCGAATCATCTACTGCATCTACGAGCACTGCCTCTACGCCCACCCCTCCATCCCTTTCCCCTCTCTCCCACCCTTCCCACCCTTCTGCCCCCATCTTCCCCAACCCTTGCCAGGGCCAATCCTTCACTCCATCCGTAATCGAGCCGTCATTCGGCATAGGGCGAATCATCTACTGCATCTACGAGCACTGCTTTTACTCCCGCCCCTCCGCCGACGAGGCACGCACCGTGTTCCGCTTCACGCCGCTCGTGGCGCCCATCAAGTGCACCGTCTTCCCCCTCGTGCAGCGCGGGGACCTTGAGAGGGTGGCGCAGGAGGCGAGTGCAGGGCTGACCAAGGCGGGTGTGGCAAATAAGATTGACACCACTGGCACGACGATTGGGAAGAGATACGCAAGGACGGATGAGCTCGGGTGCCCGTTTGCAATTACGGTGGATGGGCAGGTGAGGAGGGTGGGGGCAAGGATGGAGTGTTTGGTGGGTGGGGAAGAGGGGTATTGGTTGCATTTTGTCTCCATAAATCTCCATTTTGTCTTGGTTTTGTCTCACCATTTCTCCTGTTTGCTTTTCATTTTCCCCACGTCGTGAATGGCAGACTCTGGAGGATGGCACCGTGACTCTACGGGAGCGTGACAGTACAGCGCAGGTGCGCATTCACAAGGATGAGGTGGCATCGGTGTTGCGCCAGCTGGCGGATGGGCTGCTGGTTTGGACGGATGCGCAGGGCAAGTACCCTGCTGTTGCTCAGAAGGAAGCTTGAAGAATTGGACTTTTGAGTGCAATGTGAAAGGTGGTGAAGATATGCCGAGTGTAGATACGATGGACTTTTCTTTATGATTGATAAGTGTGCCAAATGTTGTTCTGAATTATTTAACATTACGCTAGAATTGTTTTAATTCGGTCATATGCTTCACCCTCTTTGGATATATGGAAACGAGTAAGAGTAGCTGTATGGGTACTGGTGTTGCACAATTAAAATGATCGCACAATCGGGGTGAAGGCAGGCTACAGTACGAACGAATCCTGGACATTCCCAAAGGCAGGCTACAGTACGAACGAATCCTGGACATTCCCAAAGGCAGGCTACAGTACGAACTGTCAGCGTAATCGTGACGCAGCCGGGAGCTCTCCGCAGTGTGACAGTCTGAAAAAATTCGCGGTGTTCCTCACCTGAGCCCAAATTCAGCTCTCATTTGCTCAACTCCTGCTCTCACTGTCGACCTAGATTCTAGTTCATGAAGCCTACGCCAGCATTCTCGTCGTCCTAAACCAACATGTTCGCTACGGCGTTCTAGAATTTCAAGCCTGAGAGCATGATTTATGTTGGTGGGGCACTGGGATCGTCCCGAGTTAAGTGTGGGAGGGCTACAGGCGCGGCCTGGGGGGTTATGGGTGTGCTACCCACCATACAAACATGCCCTTTTAACCCAGTCGGTAGCAGGCTGGGCCAACAAGTGGTATCAGAGCTGGTCGGAGGAGTCTACGCGCGCGACAAGGAGCACGCATGATGACTTCAAGCGAGGCCTCCCGCACTTCCTTGGATGGTGTCGTTGTAAATTCCGGCGAACCCTGGGCAACCGCGACGATGTTCGACACGTCGGCGGTACCGATTTTCACGGGACAAAACTACTCCGCGTGGAAGTTTAAGTTCCAAGTGCTCATGATGGAGCGGGGACTTTGGGGTTTCTTCGATGGAACGGAGAAGAAGCCGGACGATGAGAGCGGCATCGCGGCATGGAAGAAGAAGGACCAAAAGGCGTTCGCTACGTTGATTTCGCGCATCGGCATCAATCTCGTGAGCTCGGTGCGCATGTGCATCAAGCTCGAAGCGTCGGCGCATGAAGCGTGGAAGCGGCTTGAGACCATCCACGTGAACAAGACTCTCCACGGCAAGATCCTAGCCCGGAATGCGTTCTACACGGTGAAGATGCGCGCGGGCGAATCGATGCACGAGTTTGCGACTCGTGTGGAGGAACTCGGAGAAACGTTCATGGACCTCGGTGGAACGGTCACGGAGGAGGATTGGATTTTGACCTTGCTATGCGGCCTTCCGGAAGAGTGGTCGACGGTGATTACGACACTCGATAGCGTGCAAGACACTTGGACGAAGGAAATGGTGGTCGGTCGGCTTCTCCATGAAGAATCGCGTCGCCGACAATTCGCTAATGAGAACGTGGAGACCGCCATGTTCTCCGGAGGGAGTTCCGGAGGAAAGTCCAAGTGGAGCAAGGGTGCGACGAAGAAGTCGTACGGTGGAAGCGATCGCGGCAAGGGAAACACATCGAATGGCGCGAGCAAGTGCCACTATTGCGGCAAAGCGGGACACTTTTGGCGAGAGTTTCGGAAGCGGCCGAGCGATTGGACTCCATCGAAGGCGCGGAACCACGAGGGCAACGCGCACACGGCATCCGGCGAGGCGGATGATACAAGGGAGTCGATCGTGTTATTGGCCGGTGACGGGACCAACACTCCAAGCGACGCGTGGTTCCTCGACACCGGCGCAACGCAACACATGACGCACTCGGCATCGTTCCTCACCAACGTTGGTGCACCGGGAGACGTCACGCGTGTCGTCTTCGGAAACAACAAGTCGCTACCGGTGGTCGGAGTTGGGAGTACGCGTCTCATCGTCGATGGCGGACCGGTGGACATCACGAATGTGCTTCACGTCCCGGGGTTGAAGGTGAATCTACTCTCCGTCACTCAACTCGCGAAGAAGCATGTGAAGTTCACCATCGATGGCGCGACGATGAACCTCATTTGGAAGGGGAAGCAATTCGCACAAGGCGTTCTCAACGGAGAACTCTACCAACTCAAGACGCACCCGAGAGCGGCTTCCTCCAACGTGGCGCAAGGGTCCAAGACGACTCTCCATGCGTGGCATAATCGGCTTGCGCACGCCAACTACGAATCGGTCAAGGCGTTGGCCAACAAAGGACTAGCGAAGGGAGTCGACGTGATCGCCGGCGACGACGAGAAGGGCGTGTGCGCGGCGTGTGTCGAAGGAAAAATGGCTCGCAAGCCATTCGGTAGCCGAACGTCACCCCTCGCTAAGGACCCGCTTGCGCTTGTTCACATGGACGTGTGTGGACCGATGCGACATGCATCAAAGGGAGGAGCACGGTTCCTCTTGGTGATGCTCGACGACGCGACGCGGATGTGTTGGACCCGACTCTTGAAGGCTAAGGGAGATGCGGCCAAGGCGATTCAAGAGTGGGCGCTCGATGTTTGCGACGACAAGAAGCGGATCAAGTGTATTCGCACCGACGGTGGGGGCGAATTCGTGAACGCGGAGCTTGAGAAATGGATGAAGAGCAAGGGCATAAAGCACGACGTCACGACACCCTACACACCCCAACAAAATGGAGCGGCGGAGCGGCTTAATCGCACGTTGGTGGAAGCCGTTTGTTCACTACTTCAACACTCCAAGCTTGGGAACGAGTGGTGGGGAGAGGCGAGTGCGCTAGCGGCATGGATTCGTAATCGTGTGCCGACAAAGGTGCTACCGGGAATGAATCCGTTCGAAGCATAGACCGGAACGAAGCCGAACCTATCCCGCCTACGCACCTTTGGGTGCCTTTGCTACTACCATATACCGGATCCTCTTCGCCACAAGTTGCAACCGAAAGCTCGTGCGGCGATCTTCTTGGGAGTTGCGCCAAACGAGCGTGCATGGCGAGTGTGGGACTTGGGTGAAAAGCGTGTCGTCACGTCTCGGGACGTGGTCTTCGATGAAGACAAGTTCCCGTCGAAGGAGAAACCCACTCAACAACTCACTTTCATCCTTCCGCCACGAGAGGAGGTTGAAGAGAGTGAGACTCCACCTCAAGTGGAGAAGGAAGCCGATGGAGGGGGAGAGAACAACGAGGAGAGCGTTGATGATGTCGTGGAGGTGTCACCTACCGAGGCGGCAACTACCTCCACACCTTCCTCCCTACCATTGGCCTTGACCCGCGAGCGTCGTGAGGTTCGTCCTCCCTCCAAGTATGCCGACTATGCTACGGTAGCCGTTGGGAAGTTGGATAAGGAGGGGGCGGCATTTTGCTTCGCAACCATGGGTGATGATGAACACATGGATCCTCTCATGGAACTACCCCCTAAAGATCCGTCCCGTGCATGCTACGAGCATGTTGGATTGCACACCTAGTGGGTTGGGTGCAAGGGGGAGTGTTGGAGGTCGCGTGAGTTAGAAGCAAACGGTGGTGGGGCAATTGATATGCCCCCAACCCACCGAATGTGTTTCGGTGCTCACCGCTTGAGAGAGCTGCAGGTTTCACGAAGTGTGTGGGTTGACTTCGGAAGACCCACTCAATTGGTGCCACATGGCAACACAAGAAGGATCGAGACTAAGGAAGAATTCGGTTCGGTGAAATTCGGGTGCCGAATTTCACCCCTTCGAATTGTTACGCGAATGTTCTCGATGCATCTCGTATGTTACATGCGCGACTCGATGTTTTGAGTAGCTATATATTGTGATTGCTTTGTATGCATGATATACTGAAAATCAGAGTTTTCTATACACAGTTCAACTCGACACAAAATCCAGAGACTTTCTATCCTTCAATCTTAGAGCACTACCTAGCACGTTGAAAGCCGTATCTCAGCCGATACTTGGGCGAATTACGTGTTCTACGGCTCCTTGGAAAGCCAAGAGTGTGCTCTACTGCTTAGAACAATTCCTAGTTCCTGCCAACTAGAGGACACGCCTCTACATCAGTGGTATCAGAGCGAAAGGTCTCCGGTTCGAATCCCAGTGTGCGCCAAGCGAGCGCCAGTGCCCAAACGAGCCCCAAGTGAGGGGGAGACGACCCCAGTGAGGGGGAGATTGTTGGTGGGGCACTGGGATCGTCCCGAGTTAAGTGTGGGAGGGCTACAGGCGCGGCCTGGGGGGTTATGGGTGTGCTACCCACCATACAAACATGCCCTTTTAACCCAGTCGGTAGCAGGCTGGGCCAACAAGAATTTACAGGGTCCTGCATTTGCATAAGAATCCCATCATTCAGCGTTTTCATGGAGGAGTTACAGCCATTGCCTTCCTAGGAAGCATAATCTCAGGCCCATCCACGAATCGTCGGAGCTCTGCGTGTGCGTCGGATTTCAATGTTGCTTATTTCGAATTCTAGGAAATCCATTACCTGTTTGCGAAACCCGCCTGCTGGGTCACAAGCCTGAATCAGCAATCCTGGTTTTTTCTAGGTCCTGAATCAGGTTGTTCGCAAGCTCAACGGAGTGAATGCCGTCTTACCGGTCTTAATGAGTAAGAGAGTAGAGCTGAGATAGCCTAATCGCCCGAACCACTCTGCAAGTAAGCTGACATGGCAGGACGCGAGCGGATCGAAGTCCCTGGTGCTGCCACGTCAGCCTCCATGAATCGATATGGGCGATCATGCGTGGTAGTGAGGGATCTGACCGGGTCGCACGTGACAGTGGAGGCGACGTGCGACATGCGAGTGGGCGATGCGAAGCGAGTCGCTGCTGGAGCAATGAACAAGGACGCGTCCCTGAAACACGTCATCTTCCATAAAGTAGGTCTTTTGAGTCGACTCAAAAGTCAGTTTGATCTGAAGCGAGCCGCTGCTGGAGCAATGAACAAGGACGCGTCCCTGAAACACGTCATTTTCCATAAAGCAGGTCCTACTGATGCCGTTCTATTCCCCTGCTGCTTTAGAGTTTCCACCATTTCCCGTGTAGCAGACTTCAGTACAGCCAGACCGACAATTTGTTTTTTTTTCACCATTATCTCTTTAGGGTTCTTCACCGACGATGTTGATCTCGATGCGTCACACGCTGACCTGGCTGCATGGCTTGCCTTCATTGTTCACCTTTCCACCGTTTTCACTGGTTTCTCTAACCTTATTCACCCCTCTTGCAGGGATCTCGCCTCAAGGACTCCACCCGATTGGTCGACATTCCCGGCCTCCTCCAGCCTGGATCTGCCACGTCAGCATCTGCCAGCGCTTTGACGCCAGGGACCCCATCTATCCGTGCTGGCAGCTCCATCCCCATGAATGGCGGTTTCCATGGCGAGCCTCATGCTTCTTCTGGCGCTGACCCCAAAGTCTGTGGCTCTGAGTCTGCTACTGCAGACGCTTTCCTGGTTCTGATGAGCTTTCAGCGCAAGGAACAGCAACAGATGGGTCCAGTGCTGTCGTCGCAGCACGGGGGAACGCCACGCCGTGCCGCTGCTGCCACGTCATTGACTGGTCCACGTGGCACCGGCACAGCCGTTGGGTCTCCTCGCCTTCCGAATTCCATCCCGTTTTCGCCATCTGCTCATCCCCCACCTCCTTGCATTGTTACATCTAATCAGCGATTCCCTCCAAATGGAAGAGCTCAGAGTAACGCTGTTGCTGCAAACAAGGGATGTGCAGTAGATGTGGTGGAGCAGCGGATCAGTAGCAACCCTCCTGAACCGACTGCACCAAGGAAGGATGGCGGGGTGCGGCGGACTGAGTCTACTGAGATTGATAATGGCAGTCAGACGATGAAGGATTATCTTCTGTCGGGTGCAACCTGCAGCAGAGAAGGTCTGGCATCCGCTCGTTCGGCGTCGGCCCCACCATCTCCTCCACCAGAGGGAGTACCAGTGCTGGGACGGCCATCAGCATCGCCACCAGCGCCAGCAGCACCACCATTGCCAGAATCGCCACGACTGCCGCCATCGCCAGCAGCATTACCAACCCCTACAGCACCAATCTGGCCCGCCTCCCCTCCTCGCTACCTGCCCTTCCATGCTGCTCGCACACGTCAGCTCGGTTCACCTGGCACTGACGTGGCCAAGGGCACGGTGGCAAGGGATTGTGGGGAGCATGCTAGCAGCGGGAGACAACAAGGCATAGGGACAGTGGGGCATACAGCAACCCGTGCAGGCATTGGGAATGGCGTTACTGACGTAAGGGATGGTACTATTAACACAAAGACTGGTGGCATGGACAAAGGGAATGGTGGCACTGACATCATGGATGGGTCAAGCATGGGGGTTGATAATGACATGGAGAAGGGCGGTATGGCGAGTAAGGTGGAGAGGCGAGTGGGGCGGAAGAGAAAGGCAGAGAGGAAGGAAGAGCAGACAGCAGGCAGGGCGGGGTTGCCTCACAGTGTTGCCGTGCTGGACAGCAAGTTTGGGCTGCTTGCTGCAGTGTATGGATTCTTGGAACAGCGGACAGTCAAGGTATGTGTCCGCAGCACATGTGTGTGCTCCGTGAAACACGGATCTGTTACTTGTCTGACTCGGTTACTGTTCTCCTTTTTTTTTCATGAACAAGAGCCTCATCTCATCTGTGCTGTGAAACCTCATTTGACTGCCATCCCATCCCATGTGGTTTCATGACTCGGAATCTCACTCCCTTGACTGTTGTCATGGCCACTCTTGCCCCGCCATTCATTTGTGTCGCTGTCTCAACTCCAGGCCACGTGGAAGCGGCTGGAGGGCGCCCTGAAGGACCTCGGGAGGGGGACAGAGGCCGAGGCCGTCACTCTGCAAGTGAGTGAGTGAGTCAGTGAGTGAGTAGTGAGTGAGTGGCGGATTGAGTGGATTGTTTTTTTGTGCATAAGTGATTGCGCCCCAAGTTTGGTTGCTAAAGATTAGGTCTATTGTGGTCAATTATGGGGCTTTCCTGCTGGGGATGGATGAGTGTGCGCGCGTGCGCGCGCGCGCGCGCGCGCGCGTGTGTGTGTGTGTGTGTGTGTGTGGTTGCGCCATTTTGCCACTCACTTCCCTGTGCCACTCTCTTCCCGTTCCTGTGCCTTGCATGTGTGACTGCCTGACGTGCACGGCATGGCAGGACATCAGGGACATGGCAACTCTGGCCCCTTCGGTGGTTTGGACGTGGGAAGAGGAAGACGAGGATGAGGAAGAGGGGAAAGAGGGGGCAGAGGGGACACGGGAAGGAGAGGTGGAAGCAGGAAGAGGGAGTGATGGAGAGGAATCGAGTGAGGGGGATGTGGATTATGCAGAGGAAAAGAGTGCCGGTAGCTGGGGAGGGGAAAAGGGGCGAGGAGAATGGGAGGAGGAAAGAATTGGCGAGGGGCCATGTGGACAGAGAAGGGGAGAAAGGAAAGAAGATAGAAGGGAAGGGAGGAGAGCAGAAAGAAAGGGAGGGGAGAAGGGGAGAGGGGATGGAGGTGGGCTGGTTGTGGTGTTGGGCATGTGGGATCCGTCTCGACTGCCAGAGCAGCAGATCAAACGTGGAGGCATGCTGCTGCAAGGTGCGTTCTGGAAAGAGGCTTTTTGGTTGGGAAAAATCAACGCCACCTGTGGCATGAAGGTGGCTTGTTTGTTTCCTGCTTGTGTACACGCCAATCTTTTCTCCCAACCGTGTTGTGTGCACTCATTCCCCCTCATTTGAACCCTCCACCGCTCCCCAGGCACACAGCAACGCACACCACGTCGCAGTGCTGTCAAGTTGGCAGACAAGAGGAGGGCCGCCTTCCACTCGGCACTCACAGCAGCCCTCCACCGAATCCATGCTGACTTCCTCGCCCACGTTCTCCCTCCTGCGCCACAGTCACAGCCCACTCTGCATATCCGCCCTCCTGTGCCACGGTCGCAGCCCACATCGCAAATCCACCCACCTGTGCCACAGTCGCGCCATTCGGCCTGTCCTGTTACCGCAGCTTCTGGCCGGGGCTTGCGAGGAGAGGAGAGTCAACATGCGGCAGCTGGTGCAGGGGAGGTGGGCAGCGAGGTGGTGCCGGGGGAGGGCGAGGACAAGGATGAGGATGAGGACAAGGATGCGGGCAGTGCAGTGCACAGAGAGAGAAGGATGGGGGGGAAGAGGCGCTTTGAAACAGCGGGAGACGACGTGGAAGAGAGTAGTCAAGGGAAGGGGGGAGAAGCGAAGAAGCAGGGGCGTACTGGTGTGAAGCGGAGTGCGGGCAGCATGGCATGGCATGCAGACTTCCCTTTTGAAGACATCTCTGTGTCCATGCTGCTCGCTGAAGCGGCCTCTTTCCATTCCTCTCAGTATACTGATGCTCATGGGCATGCAGGGCAAGGGGGAGGAGGGAAGGGAGGTACCGCGAAACAGCAGAGGGAGGCACGGGTGGGGAGGCAGAACAAGCAGCGGAGGAAAGGAGGGGCAGCTGGGGATGAGTCTGTTAAGACTGGAGAGGTGGAGGAAGGTGCAATGGAGAGTCGGGAAGGGGCAGAGGAGGGTGGGAAGAAGGGAGGCTGTGATGGTGGTGCTGGTTGTGGTGGTGATGAGTGGTGGGAAGAGGCAGGCATTGGGTCGCAGCGATACACACCTCCTTGTCCGCCCAGGCAACTCAAGAAAGTGCCTCCTTGCAATGTGAGTGCTGCTGTGATGTGAGTGCTGTGACGTGAGTGCTGCCATGTGACTGACTCACCGCATCAACCACACAGCATTTTGATTCCTGCCAATCCAACCCAGCTCAAAACTCGTCGTCCGTCTCCCCCTCCCACCTCACACCCCTGCTTCTCCCTCTCCTGTAACTCCGTTGTCTGTCCGCATCCCCCCCGCATCTCCCTCCCTCTGCTGCGCCGGGCATCAGAGCACGGAGCCCATGGCTGCACCGCAGCTGCTGGAGCATCTCAAGCACGGCCTCGGATCACTGGGGCAGGTGCGTGGGGGCTGCGGGGGAGGGTGGGGGGGGTCTAGTTTTGAGGCGCCCCAAAAATAGGCGCCTCATCACTAGGGCAGGTGCGTGGGGGCTGCGGGGAAGAGAGGGGGGGGTGCTGCAAGGGAGGGAGGGTTGCTTGGGCAGGTGGATACTTGGCTAGTGGGTGATAACGTTGCCTCGTTGACGTGGTTACATGCCTTGTTATTCCTCTCATATGCACACTTACCTGCCCCACACACCCCCTCCCTGCCCCACGCACCCACCTCCCTGTCTCCCTACCTCCCTGCCCCCCCGTCGTCCTACCTCTCTACCTCCCTACCTCCCAACCTCCCTACCTCCCTACCTCCCTGCCTCACTACCTCCCTACCTCCCTACCTCCCTACCTCCCTGCCTCCCTGCCTCCCTGTCAGCTTACCTCCCTACCGCCCTGCCTCCCTGTCGGCCTGCCTATCTACCGCCCTGCTTCCAATTTTCCCCATCAGGTGGTGCACTGCGAGGAGCTGCCACAGAGGAAACCGCGCTATGGCAAGCTGGCCAGCCAGTTATGCCCTGCCACGTGGCACGCCTTGGCTTGTGCGGGTGTCTCCCAGCTCTATTCCCATCAGGTAAGCACACGTGGGTCGTGCCTTCCCGTGCCTCTTCTCCCCCTTTCCCTTCAGTGAGACGACCAAAAAACATGCTTGTTTGGTGAGGCCTTACCGATCCATGTCGTTTTTCTTTGGTTGATTCCCTGCTTTGCTCTGCAGGTGAAGGCCATTGACGCGGCACTGGCCGGGCGGCATGCAATCATTGCGACGGCAACAGCGAGTGGCAAGTCGCTGTGCTACAATGTGCCTGTCCTCCACTCGCTGCTCTCCCACCCCCACGCCACCGCCCTCTACCTCTTCCCCACTAAGGTGCGCCCCTTAAGTCGAGAGTAGGCATTGCCTATAAGAGCAAAATATGGACTTTAATCCATGGATCTCATTTTCACCATTTCCTCCTCTTCTCCTGCCAGCCCCTGGACCCTGCCTCTCCTCTAAGGGGCGCCTCTCCTCTAAGAGGCGCCTCTCCTCTAAGAGGCGCCAATCCTCTAAGGGCCATCCAGCCCTCCTCTCCCACCTCGCTTCCCTCCACTCCCCTCGCTTCCTCCTCCCAAGGGCCATCCAGCCCTCCTCTCCCACCTCGCTTCCTCAACTCCCCACGCTTCCTCCTCCTAAGGGCCATCCAGCCCTCCTCTCCCACCTCGCTTCCTCCACTCCCCTCGCTTCCTCCTCCGAAGGTTCATCCATCCCTCCTCTCACACCTCGCTTCCTCCACTCCCCACGCTTCCTCCTCTAAGGGGTGCCTCTCCTGTAAGGGGCGCCTTTCCTCTAAGCGGCGCCTCTCCTCTAAGAGGCTCCGCTCCTCTAAGGGGCGCCTCTCCTCTAAGGGGCGCCTCTCCTCTAAGAGGCGCCTCTCCTGTTAAGAGGCGCCTATGGGGCGCCGAAGGGGCGCCTCTCCTCTAAGGGGCGCCTCTCCTCTAAGGGGCGCCTCTCCTCTAAGAGGCAGGCGCCTCTTCTCTGAGATGCAGGCGCCTCTCCTCTGAAAGGAAGGCGCCTCTCCTCTGAAAGGAAGGCGCCTCTCCTCTGAAAGGAAGGAGCCTCTCCTCTGAAAGGAAGGCGGCTCTCCTCTGAAAGGAAGGCGCCTCTACTCTGTGATGTGAGGCGGGCGCCGCTCCTCTACGAGGCGCATCCAAACTAAGAGGCGCCTCGCCTCTATGAGGCGCCTCTCCTCTAAGGGACGCCGCTTGCATGCAACCCCGTGCATGCAACTCCCCACATGCAACCACCCGCACGCAACCCTTTTTTCTACATCGCTCCCCTGTATCATTTTCCTTCCTAGTCTCCTCACCTATCTTCAACCTGATTTTCTTATTCTCCCTGCCTGTCGCTGAACCCAGAAGGCCCTAGCCCAGGACCAGCTGCGAGCACTGCATGCGTTGGTGGGTTGGGAGGGGGGAGAAAACGGGGCAGATAATATGGGCGAGGGCAGTGGAACAATGCTGGGGGCTGGCAAGAAGACAGAAGCTGACGTGGCAGGAAGAGTGGGAGCTGACGTGGCAGGGGAGAGGCAGGAAGGGGATGTGTGTGGGGAGAGGGGGAGGAGTGCAGCGGGGCATGTGGCAGTAGAAGCGCAGTTGAGAAGCCTGGGAGAGGTGATGGCGATTTATGATGGTGACACGCCCCATGCTGCTCGGCGGGCCATCCGAAACAAGTCTCGACTGGTGAGCCAATGTTTGTTGTGTTTGGGGAGAGGGAGAGAAGTGCGGCGGGGCGTGTGGCAGTAGAAGCGCAGTTGAGGAGGGTGGGAGATGGCGATATATGATGGTGACACGGCCCATGCTGCTCGGCGGGCCATCCGAGGGCAATCCTGCCTGGTGAGCCAATGTGTGTTGTGTGTGGGGCATGGCGCATGGTGCATGGTGCATGGTGCATGCCTGGTATGCTGTATAGTTTTGAGGTTTTGCCTGTCTCATTGTGCCTTCTCCTTCCCCAGCTGCTTCTGTTGTGGTCTTGGCATCCTCACCTCAATTGACACACCCTACACCGGCTGCTGCGCATAGCTTCACGGATCCTTATCTCACTCGTATCAAATGCAGATCTTATCGAATCCCGACATGCTGCATGTCACCATGCTGCCTAGCCATCGGGATTTCAGCCGTGTCCTCTCCAACTTGCGGTAAGCTCTTGGCCTTTCAACGTGACAAACACATTTGTCTTCCCCTTTAACTCACTTCAGTCTCATTTTGTTCCACAGTATGAATTTCGTTCATCCTAGTTCAGATCCCCTTTCGCCCTCTCCGCTTGTACCTGTTGTTGCCCACATGTTTCGATTTGTCTCATTCGAACTTTCCACCCCTTGACCCCGCGCTCTCCACACTGTTTTCCACATCTCTCCCAGCTTTGTGGTGGTGGATGAAGCTCATGCGTACAGGGGCGCGTTTGGCTGCCATGCTGCTCTCATCTTCAGACGCCTGCGCCGTCTTTGCGCTCATCGTGGGTGGGAGGGAGGGATGGGGTGGGGTGGGTGGGTGGGTGGGTGGGCGGGCAGTTGGCTGTGATAGTGGGTGGGTGGGTGTGGGCAGTGTGTGACAGGGTGTGGGTTATATCACAACGGACTTGCTCGCTGTGCTGGGCCTGTCCGATGCCTGCTGTGTTCATGCAGTGTGCGTGCAGTTGCAGTTGCAGTTGCAGTTGCAGTTGCAGTTGCAGTTGCAGTTGCAGTTGCAGTTGCCTGCTGCTTGCTCTCATGCCTCTGCCTCTGCACCCCGTCTTGTTCCACTCTCACGGTTTCTGGATCCGCGTCATGCCTTGGCATCACTCCGCTCGTCAATAAACCCACCAACCAGTGCTTGACCCAACCCACCCATCTATTCCCCTCCCCTTGGACTCCATCCCCGTTCCCGTCTCCATCCCGTCCCCTGCGACCAGTGTACGGCTCAGATCCGATCTTCATAGTGTGCTCTGCCACGTGTGCGGACCCCAAGGACCATGTACGATCCCTGCTAGGCCTGGAGGAGGTGACAGTGGTGGATGGCAGTGACGATGGCAGCCCGTGTGGTCGCAAGAGCTTTGTGCTCTGGAACCCGCCCATCACCATGCCGCCTGTGAGCAACCCCCTCTTGACCCCCACCCCAAGGATCTCAGGTATTACCGTAATAGGGACCGCACCCCTTCTTGTCCCCGCCTCTGCGGCGCAGCTCAAGGAGGCAGACACCGCAGGTGCGTTGGGACTGCAGGTGCGTTGGGACTGCAGGTGCGGTGGGACTGCAGGTGCGTTGGGACTGCAGGTGCGGTGGGACTGCAGGTGCGTTGGGACTGCAGGTGCGGTGAGACTGCAGGTGCATTGGGACTGCAGGTGCGTTGGGACTGCAGGTGCGGTGGGACTGCAGGTGCGGTGGGACTGCAGGTGCGTTGGGACTGCAGGTGCGTTGGGACTGCAGGTGCGTTGGGACTGCAGGTGCGTTGGGACTGCAGGTGCGTTGGGACTGCAGGTGCGTTGGGGCTGCAGGTGCGTTGGGGCTGCAGGTGCGTTGGGCTGCCGGGGCGTTGGGACTGCAGGTGCGTTGGGACTGCAGGTGCGTTGGGACTGCAGGTGCGTTGGGAATGCAGGTGCGTTGGGACTGCAGGTGCGTTGGGACTGCAGGTTCGGTGGGACTGCAGGTGCGTTGGGACTGCAGGTGCGTTGGGAGTGCAGGTGCGGTGGGACTGCAGGTGCGTTGGGACTGCAGGTGCGTTGGGACTGCAGGTGCGTTGGGGCTGTCGGGGCGTTGGGACTGCAGGCGCGTTGGGACAGCAGGCGCGTTGGGACTGCAGGTGCGTTGGGACTGCAGGTGCGTTGGGGCTGCAGGTGCGTTGGGGCTGCAGGTGCGTTGGGACTGCAGGGGCGTTGGGACTGCAGGTGTGTTGGGACTGCAGGTGCGTTGGGACTGCAGGTGCGTTGGGACTGCAGGTGCGTTGGGACTGCAGGTGCGGTGGGACTACACAATCCCTCTCAACCGACGCAATCTTACACTCTCTTTTCTAAACCTCTCTCTCCTCCCCCAGGTTGCCAGGCCTCTGCGTTGAAGCTGTTGCAACCAGCTGTGACACAAACCTTCTCAACCTATGCACATTCACGCACTCTCTTGTGATCCCGTCTCTCCTCCCCCAGGCTGCAAGGCCTCTGCGCCGCAGCTCCCGAAGGCAGACGCCGCAGCTGCTGCAACCACCCGCTGCTTGTGCACACGTGATGATGGCCAAGCGAGCCAGGTTAGGGGAGGGGGATACGCCACGTAAATTCCCCCATCAGTTTCCACCCCATCAGTTTGCACCCCATCAGTTTGCACCCCATCAGTTTCCACCCCATCAGTTTGCACCCCATCAGTTAGCACCCCATCAGTTTGCACCCCATCAGTTTGCACCCCATCAATTTCCACCCCATCATTTTCCACCCCATCAGTTTGCACCCCATCAGTTAGCACCCCATCAGTTTGCACCCCATCAGTTTGCACCCCATCAATTTCCACCCCATCATTTTCCACCCCATCAGTTTGCACCCCATCAGTTTGCACCCCATCAGTTTGCACCCCATCAGTTTGCACCCCATCAGTTTGCACCCCATCAGTGTGCACGATATGCGTTGCCTCTTCCACTCCCATGCTTCCTCTTCCTTGCCTCCTTCTTCTCAACCCTTCCCCCTCTCCCGCCCTCCGCCAACACCCAGCCCCATAGTGGAGGTGGCGCTGCTGCTAGCTGAGATGGTACAGCACGACCTGCGCTGCCTCGCCTTCTGCAACACCAGGAAGCTCTCAGAGCTCGTCCTCACATACACGTGAGAGCCTTCTCCTGTCCGTTTGTACCATGCCATGGTCCCCTTGCGGCTCATTCCTACTGCCATGGGTCCACCACACCAGCAAGGAGGTGCTGCAGGAGAGAGCTCCGCATCTGGTGGGCACAGTGTTGCCATACCGTGACATTACCACCCACCCACCCTATGCCTGCTTCTTCCCTTCCCCTTGTGCCATACCTTACTGCCCCTGGGCCCACCAGCAAGGAGGTGCTGCGGGAGAGAGCGCCACATCTGGTGGGCACAGTAGAGTGTTGTTGAGAATTCTCAAAATCATACTTACCCACCCATTTCCATCTCCTACGGCCATGGTTGCATACCACACCAGCAAGGAGGTGCTGCGGGAGAGAGCGCCACATCTGGTGGACACAGTGCTGGCGTACCGGGCTGGATACACCGCTCAGGTCAGTCACTTACCCCCGCTGTTGGTACTCTGCTCAGGCCAGTCACACCAGCAAGGAGGTGCCGGGTACACGGCTCAGGCCAGTCACACCAGCAAGGAGGTGCCGGGTACACGGCTCAGGTCAGTCACACACCACCTCTGTGTGCGTACCAGTGTTGGTACGCCGTGCTGTGCTGGGTACGCTGCTTAGATGAGTCATTTACCTCTCTTTTGTGAGCCCAAAAAGTGTTTGCAAAGTGTGGTAAGAACACTGGGGCACTGGATAATTCTTCACTCTGCCGCTTCCCTCTGCCGCCTCCCTTAGCCGCCTCCCACTGCCGAGCTGCAGATTCTCCTGTCCCTGTCCCTGTCCCTGTCCCTGTCCCTGTCCCTGTCCCTGTCCCTGTCCCTGTCCCTGTCCCTGTCCCTGTCCCTGTCCCTGTCCCTGTCCCTGTCCCTGTCCCTGTCCCTGTCCCTGTCCCTGTCCCTTTCCCTGTCCCTGTCCCTGTCCCTGTCCCTGTCCCTGTCCCTGTCCCTGTCCCTGGAGCTGCAGATTCTCCTGCGCCTGGAGCTGCAGATTCTCCTGCGCCTGGAGCTGCAGATTCTCCTGCGCCTGCAGCTGCAGATCCTCCTGCTCCTGCAGCTGCAGATCCTCCTGCGTCTGGAGCTGCAGATTCTCCTGCGCCTGGAGCTGCAGATTCTCCTGCGCCTGGAGCTGCAGATTCTCCTGCGTCTGGAGCTGCAGATTCTCCTGCGCCTGGAGCTGCAGATTCTCCTGCGTCTGGAGCTGCAGATTCTCCTGCGCCTGCAGCTGCAGATTCTCCTGCGCCTGGAGCTGCAGATTCTCCTGCGCCTGGAGCTGCAGATTCTCCTGCGCCTGCAGCTGCAGATTCTCCTGCGTCTGGAGCTGCAGATTCTCCTGCGTCTGGAGCTGCAGATTCTCCTTCGTCTGGAGCTGCAGATTCTCCTGCGTCTGGAGCTGCAGATTCTCCTGCGCCTGGAGCTGCAGATTCTCCTGCGCCTGGAGCTGCAGATTCTCCTGTGCCTGCAGCTACAGATTCTCCTGCGTCTGGAGCTGCAGACTCTCCTGCGTCTGGAGCTGCAGATTCTCCTGCGTCTGGAGCTGCAGATTCTCCTGCGTCTGGAGCTGCAGATTCTCCTGCGTCTGGAGCTGCAGATTCTCCTGCGTCTGGAGCTGCAGATTCTCCTGCGTCTGGAGCTGCAGATTCTCCTGCGTCTGGAGCTGCAGACTCTCCTGCGTCTGGAGCTGCAGATTCTCCTGCGTCTGGAGCTGCAGATTCTCCTGCGTCTGGAGCTGCAGATTCTCCTGCGTCTGGAGCTGCAGATTCTCCTGCGTCTGGAGCTGCAGATTCTCCTGCGCCTGCAGCTGCAGATTCTCCTGCGCCTGGAGCTGCAGATTCTCCTGCGCCTGCAGCTGCAGATTCTCCTGCGTCTGGAGCTGCAGATTCTCCTGCGTCTGGAGCTGCAGATTCTCCTTCGTCTGGAGCTGCAGATTCTCCTGCGTCTGGAGCTGCAGATTCTCCTGCGCCTGGAGCTGCAGATTCTCCTGCGCCTGGAGCTGCAGATTCTCCTGTGCCTGCAGCTACAGATTCTCCTGCGTCTGGAGCTGCAGATTCTCCTGCGTCTGGAGCTGCAGATTCTCCTGCGTCTGGAGCTGCAGACTCTCCTGCGTCTGGAGCTGCAGATTCTCCTGCGTCTGGAGCTGCAGATTCTCCTGCGTCTGGAGCTGCAGATTCTCCTGCGTCTGGAGCTGCAGACTCTCCTGCGTCTGGAGCTGCAGATTCTCCTGCGTCTGGAGCTGCAGATTCTCCTGCGTCTGGAGCTGCAGATTCTCCTGCGTCTGGAGCTGCAGATTCTCCTGCGTCTGGAGCTGCAGATTCTCCTGCGCCTGGAGCTGCAGATTCTCCTGCGCCTGGAGCTGCAGATTCTCCTGCGCCTGCAGCTGCAGATTCTCCTGCGTCTGGAGCTGCAGATTCTCCTGCGTCTGGAGCTGCAGATTCTCCTTCGTCTGGAGCTGCAGATTCTCCTGCGTCTGGAGCTGCAGATTCTCCTGCGCCTGCAGCTGCAGATTCTCCTGCGCCTGGAGCTGCAGATTCTCCTGCGCCTGGAGCTGCAGATTCTCCTGCGCCTGCAGCTGCAGATTCTCCTGCGTCTGGAGCTGCAGATTCTCCTGCGTCTGGAGCTGCAGATTCTCCTTCGTCTGGAGCTGCAGATTCTCCTGCGTCTGGAGCTGCAGATTCTCCTGCGCCTGGAGCTGCAGATTCTCCTGCGTCTGGAGCTGCAGATTCTCCTGCGCCTGGAGCTGCAGATTCTCCTGCGCCTGGAGCTGCAGATTCTCCTGCGCCTGCAGCTGCAGATTCTCCTGCGTCTGGAGCTGCAGATTCTCCTGCGTCTGGAGCTGCAGATTCTCCTTCGTCTGGAGCTGCAGATTCTCCTGCGTCTGGAGCTGCAGATTCTCCTGCGTCTGGAGCTGCAGATTCTCCTGCGCCTGGAGCTGCAGATTCTCCTGCGCCTGGAGCTGCAGATTCTCCTGCGCCTGGAGCTGCAGATTCTCCTGCGTCTGGAGCTGCAGATTCTCCTGCGTCTGGAGCTGCAGACTCTCCTGCGTCTGGAGCTGCAGATTCTCCTGCGTCTGGAGCTGCAGATTCTCCTGCGTCTGGAGCTGCAGATTCTCCTGCGTCTGGAGCTGCAGATTCTCCTGCGTCTGGAGCTGCAGATTCTCCTGCGCCTGCAGCTGCAGATTCTCCTGCGTCTGGAGCTGCAGATTCTCCTGCGTCTGGAGCTGCAGATTCTCCTTCGTCTGGAGCTGCAGATTCTCCTGCGTCTGGAGCTGCAGATTCTCCTGCGCCTGCAGCTGCAGATTCTCCTGCGCCTGGAGCTGCAGATTCTCCTGCGCCTGGAGCTGCAGATTCTCCTGCGCCTGCAGCTGCAGATTCTCCTGCGTCTGGAGCTGCAGATTCTCCTGCGTCTGGAGCTGCAGATTCTCCTTCGTCTGGAGCTGCAGATTCTCCTGCGTCTGGAGCTGCAGATTCTCCTGCGCCTGGAGCTGCAGATTCTCCTGCGCCTGGAGCTGCAGATTCTCCTGTGCCTGCAGCTACAGATTCTCCTGCGTCTGGAGCTGCAGATTCTCCTGCGTCTGGAGCTGCAGATTCTCCTGCGTCTGGAGCTGCAGACTCTCCTGCGTCTGGAGCTGCAGATTCTCCTGCGTCTGGAGCTGCAGATTCTCCTGCGTCTGGAGCTGCAGATTCTCCTGCGTCTGGAGCTGCAGATTCTCCTGCGTCTGGAGCTGCAGATTCTCCTGCGTCTGGAGCTGCAGACTCTCCTGCGTCTGGAGCTGCAGATTCTCCTGCGTCTGGAGCTGCAGATTCTCCTGCGTCTGGAGCTGCAGATTCTCCTGCGTCTGGAGCTGCAGATTCTCCTGCGTCTGGAGCTGCAGATTCTCCTGCGCCTGGAGCTGCAGATTCTCCTGCGCCTGGAGCTGCAGATTCTCCTGCGCCTGCAGCTGCAGATTCTCCTGCGTCTGGAGCTGCAGATTCTCCTGCGTCTGGAGCTGCAGATTCTCCTTCGTCTGGAGCTGCAGATTCTCCTGCGTCTGGAGCTGCAGATTCTCCTGCGCCTGGAGCTGCAGATTCTCCTGCGCCTGGAGCTGCAGATTCTCCTGTGCCTGCAGCTACAGATTCTCCTGCGTCTGGAGCTGCAGATTCTCCTGCGTCTGGAGCTGCAGATTCTCCTGCGTCTGGAGCTGCAGACTCTCCTGCGTCTGGAGCTGCAGATTCTCCTGCGTCTGGAGCTGCAGATTCTCCTGCGTCTGGAGCTGCAGATTCTCCTGCGTCTGGAGCTGCAGATTCTCCTGCGTCTGGAGCTGCAGATTCTCCTGCGTCTGGAGCTGCAGACTCTCCTGCGTCTGGAGCTGCAGATTCTCCTGCGTCTGGAGCTGCAGATTCTCCTGCGTCTGGAGCTGCAGATTCTCCTGCGTCTGGAGCTGCAGATTCTCCTGCGTCTGGAGCTGCAGATTCTCCTGCGCCTGGAGCTGCAGATTCTCCTGCGCCTGGAGCTGCAGATTCTCCTGCGCCTGCAGCTGCAGATTCTCCTGCGTCTGGAGCTGCAGATTCTCCTGCGTCTGGAGCTGCAGATTCTCCTTCGTCTGGAGCTGCAGATTCTCCTGCGTCTGGAGCTGCAGATTCTCCTGCGCCTGGAGCTGCAGATTCTCCTGCGCCTGGAGCTGCAGATTCTCCTGCGCCTGCAGCTGCAGATTCTCCTGCGTCTGGAGCTGCAGATTCTCCTGCGTCTGGAGCTGCAGATTCTCCTTCGTCTGGAGCTGCAGATTCTCCTGCGTCTGGAGCTGCAGATTCTCCTGCGCCTGGAGCTGCAGATTCTCCTGCGTCTGGAGCTGCAGATTCTCCTGCGCCTGGAGCTGCAGATTCTCCTGCGCCTGGAGCTGCAGATTCTCCTGCGCCTGCAGCTGCAGATTCTCCTGCGTCTGGAGCTGCAGATTCTCCTGCGTCTGGAGCTGCAGATTCTCCTTCGTCTGGAGCTGCAGATTCTCCTGCGTCTGGAGCTGCAGATTCTCCTGCGTCTGGAGCTGCAGATTCTCCTGCGCCTGGAGCTGCAGATTCTCCTGCGCCTGGAGCTGCAGATTCTCCTGCGCCTGGAGCTGCAGATTCTCCTGCGTCTGGAGCTGCAGATTCTCCTGCGTCTGGAGCTGCAGACTCTCCTGCGTCTGGAGCTGCAGATTCTCCTGCGTCTGGAGCTGCAGATTCTCCTGCGTCTGGAGCTGCAGATTCTCCTGCGTCTGGAGCTGCAGATTCTCCTGCGTCTGGAGCTGCAGATTCTCCTGCGCCTGCAGCTGCAGATTCTCCTGCGTCTGGAGCTGCAGATTCTCCTGCGTCTGGAGCTGCAGATTCTCCTTCGTCTGGAGCTGCAGATTCTCCTGCGTCTGGAGCTGCAGATTCTCCTGCGCCTGCAGCTGCAGATTCTCCTGCGCCTGGAGCTGCAGATTCTCCTGCGCCTGGAGCTGCAGATTCTCCTGCGCCTGCAGCTGCAGATTCTCCTGCGTCTGGAGCTGCAGATTCTCCTGCGTCTGGAGCTGCAGATTCTCCTTCGTCTGGAGCTGCAGATTCTCCTGCGTCTGGAGCTGCAGATTCTCCTGCGCCTGGAGCTGCAGATTCTCCTGCGCCTGGAGCTGCAGATTCTCCTGTGCCTGCAGCTACAGATTCTCCTGCGTCTGGAGCTGCAGATTCTCCTGCGTCTGGAGCTGCAGATTCTCCTGCGTCTGGAGCTGCAGACTCTCCTGCGTCTGGAGCTGCAGATTCTCCTGCGTCTGGAGCTGCAGATTCTCCTGCGTCTGGAGCTGCAGATTCTCCTGCGTCTGGAGCTGCAGATTCTCCTGCGTCTGGAGCTGCAGATTCTCCTGCGTCTGGAGCTGCAGACTCTCCTGCGTCTGGAGCTGCAGATTCTCCTGCGTCTGGAGCTGCAGATTCTCCTGCGTCTGGAGCTGCAGATTCTCCTGCGTCTGGAGCTGCAGATTCTCCTGCGTCTGGAGCTGCAGATTCTCCTTCGTCTGGAGCTGCAGATTCTCCTGCGTCTGGAGCTGCAGATTCTCCTGCGCCTGGAGCTGCAGATTCTCCTGCGTCTGGAGCTGCAGATTCTCCTGCGTCTGGAGCTGCAGATTCTCCTGCGTCTGGAGCTGCAGATTCTCCTGCGTCTGGAGCTGCAGACTCTCCTGCGTCTGGAGCTGCAGATTCTCCTGCGTCTGGAGCTGCAGATTCTCCTGCGTCTGGAGCTGCAGATTCTCCTGCGTCTGGAGCTGTAGATTCTCCTGCGTCTGGAGCTGCAGATTCTCCTGCGCCTGCAGCTGCAGATTCTCCTGCGCCTGGAGCTGCAGATTCTCCTGCGCCTGGAGCTGCAGATTCTCCTGCGCCTGCAGCTGCAGATTCTCCTGCGTCTGGAGCTGCAGATTCTCCTGCGTCTGGAGCTGCAGATTCTCCTTCGTCTGGAGCTGCAGATTCTCCTGCGTCTGGAGCTGCAGATTCTCCTGCGCCTGGAGCTGCAGATTCTCCTGCGCCTGGAGCTGCAGATTCTCCTGTGCCTGCAGCTACAGATTCTCCTGCGTCTGGAGCTGCAGATTCTCCTGCGTCTGGAGCTGCAGATTCTCCTGCGTCTGGAGCTGCAGACTCTCCTGCGTCTGGAGCTGCAGATTCTCCTGCGTCTGGAGCTGCAGATTCTCCTGCGTCTGGAGCTGCAGATTCTCCTGCGTCTGGAGCTGCAGATTCTCCTGCGTCTGGAGCTGCAGATTCTCCTGCGCCTGCAGCTGCAGATTCTCCTGCGTCTGGAGCTGCAGATTCTCCTGCGTCTGGAGCTGCAGATTCTCCTTCGTCTGGAGCTGCAGATTCTCCTGCGTCTGGAGCTGCAGATTCTCCTGCGCCTGCAGCTGCAGATTCTCCTGCGCCTGGAGCTGCAGATTCTCCTGCGCCTGGAGCTGCAGATTCTCCTGCGCCTGCAGCTGCAGATTCTCCTGCGTCTGGAGCTGCAGATTCTCCTGCGTCTGGAGCTGCAGATTCTCCTTCGTCTGGAGCTGCAGATTCTCCTGCGTCTGGAGCTGCAGATTCTCCTGCGCCTGGAGCTGCAGATTCTCCTGCGCCTGGAGCTGCAGATTCTCCTGTGCCTGCAGCTACAGATTCTCCTGCGTCTGGAGCTGCAGATTCTCCTGCGTCTGGAGCTGCAGATTCTCCTGCGTCTGGAGCTGCAGACTCTCCTGCGTCTGGAGCTGCAGATTCTCCTGCGTCTGGAGCTGCAGATTCTCCTGCGTCTGGAGCTGCAGATTCTCCTGCGTCTGGAGCTGCAGATTCTCCTGCGTCTGGAGCTGCAGATTCTCCTGCGTCTGGAGCTGCAGATTCTCCTGCGCCTGGAGCTGCAGATTCTCCTGCGCCTGGAGCTGCAGATTCTCCTGCGCCTGCAGCTGCAGATTCTCCTGCGTCTGGAGCTGCAGATTCTCCTGCGTCTGGAGCTGCAGATTCTCCTTCGTCTGGAGCTGCAGATTCTCCTGCGTCTGGAGCTGCAGATTCTCCTGCGCCTGGAGCTGCAGATTCTCCTGCGCCTGGAGCTGCAGATTCTCCTGTGCCTGCAGCTACAGATTCTCCTGCGTCTGGAGCTGCAGATTCTCCTGCGTCTGGAGATGCAGATTCTCCTGCGTCTGGAGCTGCAGACTCTCCTGCGTCTGGAGCTGCAGATTCTCCTGCGTCTGGAGCTGCAGATTCTCCTGCATCTGGAGCTGCAGATTCTCCTGCGTCTGGAGCTGCAGATTCTCCTGCGTCTGGAGCTGCAGATTCTCCTGCGTCTGGCCTCTGGGTAGGCCAGGCTGCAGGGCAGGGCGCATCCATCCCGTAGCTGCCACCAGCACCATCTGTCTCGGCTCACAGGAGCCCCGTACCTGCTCCTGCCCCTTCCTCTTTCCCCCCATCCCATCAGGACCGGCGGCGCATAGAGAGGGAGCTGTTTCACGGGCGCCTCCGTGGTGTGGCAGCAACGAGCGCATTGGAGCTAGGAGTGGACGTGGGGGCACTGGACGCCACCCTGCACCTCGGCTTCCACGGCTCCACCGCCAGCCTCTGGCAGCAGGCGGGCCGGGCAGGCCGCCGGGAAAAGGCCTCTCTTTCCATCTACGTTGCCTTTGACGGGCCTCTCGATCAATACTTCATGGCGGCTCCTGAGAGGCTGTTCTCTCGGCCAATCGAGCGCTGCCAGCTGGACGCGGAGAATCCCCTGGTGATGCGGCAGCAGCTGCAGTGCGCTGCGGCGGAGATGCCGCTCCTGGAGGATGTGGATGGGAGGTTCTTTGGCCCGTCATTGGCCGAAAGGATTGCTGAGCTGGCAGGGAAGGGCGTTCTCGGGAGGAGTCCGGAGAATCCCGAGGTGGACCGTGGGTGGAGGTACATTGGGGAGGGGAAGCGGCCGGCGCAGTTTGTCCCGGTGCGGGCGATCGACCCGAACACATATGCGGTGGTGGAGACGAGACCGGGGAGAGTGCTGGAGGAGATTGAAGAAAACAAGGCCTTCTTTGTGGTAGGTTTCCTGGTAGGTATTTTGGGGTGAGTTTTTTAGATATGTGAAGTAAAAACAGGTAGAAGAGAGCCAAGGTTGATGTGTGGGAGCTTTGTGCTGTATGTTACAAGGACAAGGAAAGAGAGGAGGGCGTAGGAAGGGAGATGGCACAATCATATTACCAAGCTCATTCCCTTGGCCTTTACCACTCCATGCGTGCTCCCGCATCCCTCTATGCTTTTATTTCGGTTTTCGTCCTCCCCCATCCCCACCCATGTGCAGCTGTACGAGGGAGCAGTGTACCTGCAGCAGGGGCGAACCTTCCTGGTGACTTCCCTGGATCTAGAGAAGCGGGAGGCACGGTGTGTGCGGGCGGATGTGCGGTATTACACCAAGACGATTGACATGGTCACTGTGACTATAATGGGGGGCACTCTGGTGAGCATATAACCAGCAGATTCATTTTAATCCTTAAGTCAAGTACCATCGAATAGACACACCTCCTTCATCTACTCACTCGCACTCTCCCTTGCACCGGCAGGCTTTTCCATACCCACACATGCCATCAGCAAAGGCAGCTTCAGCTTCTACTGTTATGACGTCAGCACACACAGTGCTCAAAGAGGCGATGACCTCAACAGCACACACTGCAGCAGCCTCTGAGCCAATGACGAAAGCGCACATGGCAGCAGGCGGTGTGCTGACATCAGCACAGACGGCACCATGTGAGGTTACGACTCGGTGGACTGGTTACCGCAAGATGTGGCGCGGGTCAGGAGAGCCGTTTGAAACGGTGGAGATGACACTGCCAGATGTAACGTACGCCACCCAGGTGAGTCAGTTGACTACCTGGTGGTAGTAAACGATTATCTCTTAGTGTGTTCTGTTCTTGTATTGTTTCGGTATAGATGCACTCGCAGTTCTCATCCTGGCTTGGCAGCCACTCTCATCTTACAGTTCTTATGTCTGGCATTGAGGCATCTCAATGTTGCATTTCTGGTGCGTGGGGCGTGCAGGCAGTGTGGGTGGCGGTGGCGGGTGGGACAAAGGCGGCAGTGGAGGCAGCGGGGAGTGACTACCGCGCGAGCCTGCATGCTGCCGCGCATGCCCTCGCCAACATGGTGCCCCTGTGAGAGACACCATGCACTGATGCATCAGCACACGCATCAGTCTTTTGAGGCGCCTCAAAATTCGTCTCATGCCCTCGCCAGCATGGTGCCCCTGTGAGCGACACCATGCACCGATGCATGCATCAGCACACGCATCAGTCAACGCGTTTAACAGTAGCACACGAGTTTGTTAACATGGGATGATGGTGTGCCACCGCTCACATGGTGCCACTGCAAGTGTGTATGCTTTGAGTCGACTCACAAGTCCGTTCCTCCTGCCTGTGCTGTGCTCCACCCATCCAGCTTCCTCGCCTGCATGGCATCAGACATGGGAGTGGAGTGTGCATCGCCATACGACTCCCGCTTCTTCCCCCAGCGTCTCCTGCTCTACGACAAGCACCCGGGCGGGATAGGCCTCGCGGTGCAGGTATGTCCGATAGGCATAGGGGAAAATTATCCTTCTATCCACCGCCCCTGCTTTCACCGCTCGCCCTACGACTCCCGCTTCTTCCCCCAGCGTCTCCTGCTCTACGACAAGCACTCGGGCGGGATAGGCCTCGCGGTGCAGGTATGTCCGATAGGCATAGGGGAAAATTATCCTTCTATCCACCGCCCCTGCTTTCACCGCTCGCCCTACGACTCCCGCTTCTTCCCCCAGCGTCTCCTGCTCTATGACAAGCACCCGGGGGGGATAGGTCTGGCAGTGCAGGTATGAGTGCCTGGAACCTGGGGAAATCAGTCCTGGATGTGCGATTGCAGGTGGTAGTATGGATATGTGATCCGCCTGCAGTCGCACCTCCAGGGCCTTGTGAACTTGCTCACTTGCTAGCTCAGCCTTGCATCTGATCATTTATCGAATGTTGTCATGCGGGCCCAGGTTTCGAACCTACTTCGATCTTCCTGCCTCTTCCCTGCTCTTGTCATCTCTTTTTCCTTTCAGCTGCAGCCTCAGTTCCCCGCAATTCTCCGAGCTGCACTGGAGCTGGTTTCCAAGTGCCAATGTAACATGCCCAATGGCTGCCCTGGCTGTGTACATGTGAGTCAAACGGTCTTTTTCATTATTAATATTATTTTTTTACTCGAGTGTATTCTTGTAGAACTCACATGCAGTATCATTTTTGTGTTTGCTGTTTGTGCACATCATTAGTGATGTAACCATTTTCAATTCTTGCCATCCACCCAACCAACGTTGCCCAATATCATCCGGAAACATGCAGTTTCTAGCGTGTGGAGAGTATAACGGCGTGCTGGACAAAAGAGGAGCTCAACTCATCTTGAAGGTGCAATGAAACTTTTTGGATCCACCATTTGTTGATCATCTCTGCATCAATTTCAGATTCTGACATTTCCCTATAAATTTGCGCGTGTGCAGATGGCAGTGGATTCAGAAAATGAGTTTCTGAGGGACATTGGAGTGCCCTTGTCACAGCATTCTGGTGGCTTTTTAAAAAAGGGAGAACTGTGATCTGTGTATTTCCATGTATAGCATTGTGATTCAGATTGCGGTGTAATAACGACCTTCCCATATCGCACCACCTGGAACCTGAAACTGGTGGCTTGGCGGGGGGACCTGCTGTCGGTTTCTCGTGTTTCTCGATGACTTCCTGTCCGTCCCCCTAAATTTGGGGGTCTTGTCCTGACCTGAAGCTTTTACCGCCGTGCCCATCGCAGCCAATGGGTTCTCGCGTTGGTTCTGACAATGCCGACCAGACGAGTAGGGCGAAGTTGTAACTCGATATCGTCAGCGTCTCAGCAAGCGAAGTCAGCACGGCCTCCCCCAGCAGCACCGTACAGCACAATGCAGCCAGTCAAACCTTGAATTTGCCTGTCTCTCCAACTTGTTGCCAACAACCAACAACGGCCAGGAAAGCCTATAAACTTCTCCCATTTCCAGCAATACCGTACCCAATCGCACATTTAATGCCTTAGAACGTAATGCACCATACTGAGCCGCATTCAAAATCTTCTGAAACACACCGACCAGCGAACCAGAAAGCACCAGTGGGCATACAGGCTGTCGGCCATCTCATCGTCCTCCTGTTCACGGATCGTAAAAAATTATACGTGTGCTTGCAATGTGCTTGCAACGTTGGCTCCGGGATGAAGCCTAGCCGAAGCGTGGGCTACCAGCATGCCTCCCCCACAGACAGCACATCTCCCGTAACCCTGTATTAGCGCTCCTTATGAAGTGAGTCGTTCCATACGACTCTCCGAAGCAAGATCGTGAATAGGCTGCATTTTGCCGTTGCTTGCAGACTTACTTTGCGCTGAATGCGTTTTCATTGAGTTGCGTGTTCTTGCGGTCGCTCTTAGCTTGCAGACGAAGACACCGGAGTGAACATGCAGGGATTAGGTTTCCTGGCTCGAATCTTTATGTACGTGCGTGCCGAGATGCTCCGTCGTTATGCTGCTGCACCATTCAGAACGATTAGTGATTAAGACTCAGACCGTAACGGCATCAAAGCCCAGTGGGTGATCGCGGGATTCCTTTTTCCCGAAGCGAATTTGTAAAGAAACGTTTTAGTGTTCGCAAGGTTTTGTGTCAATGGATAATGCAGCCGATGATAGCCGTCCGATCAATCAGATTGAAGACTCCTCAGAACACCATAATGCACTCCAAGAGTCTCTGCGTCAGCGAAGTCGTTCCATAGGCACCGAAGCAGAGCCAGATTCGCACCGTTCCGACCCGAGTCGACTCGATAGTCCCCCAGATCTGCGTCGTTCCCTCTCGGACGGATCTCCTCGCCGGGCTCCAGTTGTTCCTACCAACAGATCTCCCGATAGTGTCGGGTCGGCAAGACGACAGGACGCTCCTGTCGGTTCCACTGACAACGCTGACAAAGATCATTGTGGCTCTCCTCCGAGTCAGAATCAAGACTTCCTGTCATCCGCTCAGGCTTCGCCATTCCATCGAAAACCCCGACATTGTAATGGATCTCCAGCCAGGCCCGGTGGGTCTCCAGCCAGGCCCGGTGGATCTCCAGCCAGGCCCGGTGGGTCTCCAACCAGGTTCCATGAATTCCCAGCCAGACTCGGTGAAACTTCAACCAGGCTCCACGATTTACCAGCCAGAGCTGGTGGGTCTCCAGCCAAGCTCCATGATCTACCAGCCAGACCCCAGACCTGCTCGTACGCTTCTCCGCACACCGCAGCCGCTGCCCATAAAGATTTGCCCGACCGCCAATCGCCTGATCAGGCCTTTTCAGATCCGAGATCGCCTGACCAAGGATTGTCTGAACGAGAATCGCATGATAGAGTATCAAATGACGGAGAGTTGTCGTTTGGTCGAGAATCGGCTATTTGTATATCTCCTGATAGAGAATCGTCGCCTGATCAAGACTCTTTGTTTCAGCCGAGTCGTAATGACGCACAAGTGTTGACGGGACGCACCGAGGCTTGTATAAGGGGACATTACTATACCGAGGGTTATCCAACAGATGATCAACAAACGGAGAGTTACCGTAAGGAGGGTTACCGAACTGAGGACGATCGCACCGGTGACTCTCGCAAGGAGGATTATCGCACGGATGGCTCTCGTACGGAGGACACTCGTACGGACGTACCAAGTGACCGGATCACTCACAGATTCCCTGATCGCACGCATGGGTTTCTGCAGCGCGCCGATGGGTTCCTGCAGCGCGCGCAGCTGTTGCTGCAGAGCCTCGCGAGCCGCAGCCGGTGGTGGTGGGTGCAGCGGCGACGAGTCGCCGCGTTTGTGATCCAGAGGAAGGTCGCCTGGGCTGCTGCGGCCGCGCGGCCGTGGACTCCCACGGGGAAGAGCCGACACCGCCGCCGATGGGGAGGGGGAGGGGGAGGGGGAGGGGGAGGGGGAGGGGGAGGGGGAGGGGGAGGGGGAGGGGGAGCGGGAGGAGGGGGAAAGGGCGCGAATGTAAACAGTGTACTGGCGGCTCTGGCGGTGGTTCTGTTCGTGGTGAATTTCATCCTGCTCTCCTCGCGCATGGACGGGGCTGCGCGGAGCAAGCAGGCGCGCGGGGTTCATGGCACGGGGGCGCGGAGCGAGCGCCAGGCGGAGAACGAGGAGGCGGAGGAGGGAGGGTTTGCGGATGTGACCACGAATGTGCACGTCCGCCCTGGGTACGGACGGCCACTGCTCCCACTCACTGTCACAGCCGCACTATCTCACCCACACACTCCCTCAATGCGTCCCTTGGCCTGTTGAAGCTTCCAGAACCTTCATAAAAGCGTCTCGAACTCTCATAAGGCATTTGGCAACTTCCCATGCACTGCTCGAGTTTCCCATCTCTTCACTCTTCCGCTCACGGTCCAGAATCCCCTTGTACGGCCCCCTTTCCCCCCTCCCCCCACCCCTTCTACTCCCCACTGCGCGACAGGGCCGGATTAGGCTGGCATGGGCGCGAGGAGTGGTACAGGCGAGGGCTGCACACCCTCCCAGGCTCTCCCCCTCGCCCCAAATGGAACGCCTCTGACGACTCCTTCCTCAACTCCCTCGTATGGCCCTCACTCTCTTCCTGTACATTCACCCTGCACACTCACCCTCCACTTTTGAGACGCCTCAAAAGTATTCTCCCCCTCGCCCCAAATGGAACGCCTCTGATGACTCCCTTCTCAACTCCCTCGTATGGCCCTCACTCTCACCATGCCCACTCGCTCTGCTCACTCGCATCGTGACATCCCGTCTGCATTGCCCCCCTCGCCCCAAATGGAACGCCTCTGATGACTCCCTTCTCAACTCCCTCGTATGGCCCTCTCCCTCACTCTACACATTCCCATGAGCACTCGCTCTAAACACTTGCACTTTCCTCACGGCCGTCCTAGCAACCTGCAGTACCGCACCTCTTACTGCCACACCACGCTGTCCCTCTCACCGTCTTCAATCCCCTCTGCTCTCCACCGCTCTGCCAGCAATGCCCTGCCAGCAATGCCCTGCCTTTCCCCCCTATACCGCCCTGCCTTTCCCCCCTATACCGCCCTGCCTTTCCCCCCAATACCGCCCTGCCTTTCCCCCCTATACCGCGCTGCCTTTCCCCCCTATACCGCCCTGCCTTTCCCCCCAATACCGCCCTGCCTTTCCCCCCAATACCGCCCTGCCTTTCCCCCCTATACCGCCCTGCCTTTCCCCCCTATACCGCCCTGCCTCTCACCCCTCTGCCTCCCCGCCTCTCACCCCTCGTGCGCCATGCAGCTGAGCAGGTGGCACGTGCAGCCATATTCGTCGCAGCCAGGCGTGTATCTGCTGCAGCAACCCACGGACTTCGCCTGTGTGCTGCTCATCCAGGACGCCTGCTACCTCTTCATGCAAGGTAAGGCCTCCTCCCTTCCGTTCCCCACGTGCCACCGCCTCTTCATGCAAGGTGCCGTACTGGGTACCACCCTCCCTATGTGCCACCTCAACATGCGAGGTAAGGATACCTTCCCCTCTCTCGAAATGACTTCTGAGTCGACTCAGAACTCGTTTTGATGCAACCTCTTCTCCTCCCCACCACTCCCACCACTCCCGCCACTCCTCTATATCACACCAGGCAAGTCAAAGCACCACCAGCCACACACGGGGATCTGGTTCGCCAGGGATCGAACCCTCGATCTCTCACAGATATCCATTGTCAACAACGTGTGCCACCTGTACAGTGACAGGCTGGCAGACGCGCTCTACGAGTCCTGGCTGGAGCTGAGCTGGCATGAGCTGGCAGCGGCCCTCGAGAGAGAGGCGGTTCATGGGAAAGGGGTGAGGAGGGAGAGGGGGGAAGCAGGGGTGGGGGGAAGAGGAGAGAGAGGAGGAACGGAAGGGAGGGGTAGGGAGAGGCAAGCGTTCTGGAAGGGCAGGCGGAAGGGGAGGGGAGCAGAGCGAGCAGGTGGGGGAGCAGAAGGGGAGGAGGTAGGGGCGGGAGGGGTGGAGGTGGGAGCAGGAGGGGTGGGTGGAGGGATGAGTGTGGAGGATGTGAAGGAGGTCGCTCGGTTGCATGCTGCAGCAGTGCGGAAACGCAAGGCGGTCATGGCTGCCGCTGCTGCTTCTGGTGCTGCTGCTGCTAGTGCGGCAGCAGGGGAGACGAGCACGCAGCAAGACAACAGCGAAGGGGGCAGCAGAAACAAGGGCAGCAGCAGCAATGGGGGCGCATGGGCGCAGTACCATGTGACCATGGACCAGTCTGCAACAGGGGACAACGGACTGGGCTACTCACTGGACGCTCTAAACGCTCCAGAAGCTCCAGAAGCTTCTGATGGGCCGGTGATGGAGCCGGTGAGGTTGAGAGACCCCAGTGACAACTGGACGCCGCCAGGGACAGGCGCGAAGGCACAGGAGGCGAAGGCTGGTGAGAGGGCTGGGAGAGGTGTGACAGGAGGTGGTGGTGGTGGACGGGAGAGGGTTGAGGTGGGTCTGAAGGGAGGGAAGGTGAGTGGGAAGGGTGGGACGAGGGTGAGAGGAGGTGGTGGAGGAAGGGAGAGTGGGAGGAAAGTGAAGGTGAAGGTGGTGAGTGTTCGGAGGAAGCTGCTGGGAATCTGGGGGTCCCGACAACGCCACAGCCGGGGGAGGCGCACACAGCAATCCCACAGGAGAAGCAGCAGCAGCAGCAATGCTGCCAACACCACCACTTTCACCACCAGCAGCAGCAGTGCGAGCGTGAGCAGCAGAAGCAAATACCACCTTCCCCAGATGCACCCGCTGCAGCCCCGGCACACGGCCATGGACAACCTAGCAGACGGATTCGCCCAGGAACCCGACGAGCAGCCGCCTGTAGACCTCTCCGACCTCAAACGCCGCTCCCTGCACACGTATGGGCGGCTGACTAACCACCTGGGCATGACCCGGTACGTGGGGGTGAGTGAAAGGAGGAGTAGGGAGAGGTTGGTGAGGGGGATGAGGGGGAGAGGGGTGCGTGTGGGCGTGGTGGCGCGGTATGGGTCCGCTGTGGGCGAGTTTGGGCGCGCGCTGGTGCCTCTGATGGAAGTGGCGGGGCACCTGGAGGGGTCGTTGCAGGCACAGGCGAACACAGCGCAGTTGGGTGGGCAGCAGCGTGAAGAAGAACGGCAGGAAGAGGGGAGGCGGCAGGGGCAGGAGCAGCAGGGAGAGGGGCAGCAGGGAGGAGGGCAGCAGAGGCGGGGTGATGAGGGGGTGGTGGTGTTCTTTCCCGGAGATGATTCTATTCGCTCCCAGTGGACCGTGCATGCTGCTCGCCTGCTGTTTGGTGACGCCACCCGGGTGGAGGCAGGCAGAGTGGCAGGCCAGAAGGTGAGACACACACGATGCACTTTTTCTCTCTCTTTTGTTCTTTTTCCTTTGTTGAGAAGCATGATCAGAGCCGGCAGAGCGTATCGCGCTGATAGAAACATATTTTTCCTCCACCCCCGTTTCTTCTACTCCCCCCATCACCCCGCCAGGTGTGATTCCAGAACCTGCTGCTCCCCATCAGCACAGTACAGCACCCCCCTCACCCGTTTCCCCAACCCCTCCCCACCCCACTCCACCCCTCCCCACCCCACTCCACCACCAGGTGTGCTTCCAGAACCTGCTGCTGCCCATCAACAAGCTGCACCGGCCTCACAGCGCCGACCTCACTCGCCGCCGCGCCTCCCAAGCTTCTCAAGCCATGTACGGCACTCAGACATCTCAGGCCACTCAGAACCCAGCAGCCACTCTCCACACCCCTCGACCCACCCACTCACACACTGAACCGCTCCCAGGCACCCCAACCATCCCAACCATCCAAATCCTTCCAGGCACCCCTCACCAAGACGCTCAGGGCCCGTCCCTAGCACCTGCTCTCGCGCTCATGTCACAAGCCGTCTCGATACAAGCTGTCTCGCTACAAGCCATGGCATCTGCAACTGGTGACAACTCAGGGAGGAGGGGGCCCTCAATGCTGCAGGAGGGTGCAGGTGCAGTTATGGAGAGAGGGGAGAGGGTGGGTGGAGAGGGTAACTATGAAAATGGGTCAGAATCACGAGAGCTACTGGGGATTTATGAGAGGAGAATACTGCCAAAGCTTGCCATCCACGCGTCTCCAGAGGAGAGGCTGGCTGTCGGTGTTGCTGCCTTGCCATTGGGTGATAAGCGCCGGGCAGCTGCTCTGGCGAATCCCCTGGCTGCTGCTGCCGCTGCCGCTGCAGCAGGGGGAGCAGCAGGAGGAGTGTCAGCAGGAGGAGTTGGAGTTGAGGAAGCAGGGAGGCGTACAGACGTGGGTTCCAAGTTGCGCGAGGGAGTGGGGCAGAAGCAGCAGGACGTTGGGGCAAAAGGAAAGAGCAGTGGCAAAGGGAAAGTGAACGAGCAAGGGGAAGAGAAGAGGGAGAAGGAGAGAAAGAGATTGGCAGGAGTGGAGAGGAGAGAGGATACACAGGGAGAGGAGGAAGACCCAGTGGCGGATGCTGAAGCGATGGCGAGGCAGGAGCTAGATGACTACTTGGACCAGTACGAGGAGCAACACAGCGCCAACCACGATAATGACCATGACCATGACAGTCACCGCCGCCCACTCCCCACTGACACCAACTTTCCCACCACTTCCAATCGCACCCTACCCAGCCTTGCTACTGCCGAGCCTGGTGCTACTGGGATTGAGTCCTCTCCTCCCTCGTCCACTGGAGCTTTGCAGCTGCTGGTTCCCACTCAAAGGTTTCTATACCTGCTGCCTGATAGGGGTGACTCGGGCAGGTTAACGGGCAGCACCGGAAAGGATTCCTGGCAGGTGACTCTAGTGGAGCGTGACAATGTGGAGGGGCTGAAGAACCAGCAGGAGGTGGTGGCGCTGATTCAAGAGGCATTTCCGGAGCTCCCGGTAGCGATTGTGCGGCTTGGCAACGTGTCACTGTACGATCAAGTGACAATAATGAAGGTGAGCAAGCTTTGTGTGGTGTACACTGTACTCCCTCACCTTTTAAATTGACTTGCTTATAAGGCTGTTCGTACTCTTTCCAGTCCAAGGGACACCAAGTCTGTCCAGCCATTCTTGCTCCCTCTGAACCCTTTCCACACCCTTGTACCCATTTCATTCACCCCAATACCCCCACCCTCCAGCACTCCCCCAACCCCTTCCCCCTCTCTCTCCCCAACCCCTCTGCACCCCTTTCATTTCCCTTCAGCGCTCGCTCGTCCTTGTAGCAGTCCACGACCTTATCCTCTCCACCTCACTCTTCTTCCTGCCACGTGGCGCTGTTCTATTGGAGCTCTTCCCCTACAAGCTCTTTAGCACGCAGCACAAGAAGCTCGCACTCCGCTCTGGTGTACACTACATGGCTTGGCAAAACCAGTTTCGTTACAATGGATTCTTTAAGGAAAATTGCTTTTGGCGAGGAGGTTACAAGGATACAAAAGGCGAAGTATGCTGGAGAAAGAAAGATTGTATGAGGTGCATTCGAGACAAGAGTACAACATGGGTGGCAGGTAGAGATCTTTTGGAGGTTTTAGCCAATGCAAGGCTGCATGTGTTGAAGCAGCTACCTCGGTGTGCCATCCACAAGCATAGTGTAGGTAGGTGATTGTGTTCATTTTCTTTCATGGTGCAATGGACATATGCGTTGTGTTTATATAACTACTTATAAACAACGGTGGTAAGTAGCTGTGCTGGTAGCGCGTATTCGGCGAGTCTTATATCGGTGGGTGCATCAGCAGTCACCCACGACAATCAGTAATTCTGCGACGACGTCGCACAAGCATATTCGGGAATTCGGTTGGGTGGCGAAAATATCGATAGAGAAAACAGGTCAATTTTGTTCAACCAGCACGATTCTCAGCGTCAAGGCTCGAGAGAAACGATGCCAGCATGGCGATCGACGATTGGAGAATGTTCACGGTAACCTGCTCCACAGTCTTCGTCACTGAAAGTGGGGCTGGCAAGGGCAGCGACGCGTGATGTGTGGGTGCGGTGTCTTGAGGGCACGGGTGCGAAGCGCGTTTACAGAATGAGGGGCTGTCCGAAGCGCGGACCATTTGTTTGCGACAGGCTTTCAAACCAGGCACAACCGAGCAATGAGTATGCGAACCACATAGAATAGGTTCTTTACCGTACTGCACTTCTGCGTTTTTAGTGAGCCCCGTCTAACCAGGCTGCAACTGCAGAGGTGATCAAACTTCATCCTGTACTTGTGTGTCCCCTTCGCACGGACGCGTGACCTTCCCAGTTTTGGCTTGCGCCAAAAAAAACAGCGTTTGAGTTGATGAAAGGAACCACCCTTTTTCTCGACTCGATGCCTTGCTCACTCCACAATCCAGCGCAACAGCGTCTGGGTAGGTGTAAAGCTGTCACCGTACCATCGTCACAGTAGGCCACACGGAACGTCCTCTTGCGGCACAGCGATATCGAAAGCCGCGATCAGTACAATACAGAGGGCAAAGGTTTGCTGGTTATGCTGACTTGCTTATCAGCCTGCCACCTTTTCAAAGCCCCTTTTTTTCCTTTGGAACTAGCCTACTCGATACCAATCATCTTCTACTGATGTTTTGACACATAATAAGACATTTTTCTCCTGTAATTAGAAGTCTCTAGAAATCAGGCTCTTGCAGTGCACTTTCACGCCGCACAAGAGCTTCTCGCGCTGCTACCCGGTGCCACTCGGTGCCGCACGGTGCCACAAACGCGCGTACACCGCCGGTCGCAAAGGCGTGCTGCCATGCGCGCTCGCATGCGGGATACCGCCGCGCTCGTCTTCCGGGGCGTCGCGATCGCGGGGATCCTGCTGTCCGCCACGTGCGCATCTTCGACTGCTCATGACCACTCGTTTTTCCCGCCCTTCCGTTCCGCGCATGCGCTGGAGGGGGAACCCTCTCCGTCGCCCGAGTCGCCCCGCGAATTGCGGCGCGCTCTAGACGCGGTGAAGGTGGAGTCGATAGCGGGGCCGGGCTGCGTGAACGCGTTTCCCGCGAAGCCGCTATGCAAGTTCGTCGACAGCCTCGCGTCGCGCGTCATCCCCGTGCAGGACGGCGGCTCCGGCAAGACGCTGTCCATCGGCGTTTACCAGACGTACCAGGTACGGCTCAGCGTTGGCTCAGCGAGTGTCTATGTTGTGTGAATATTCATGCACAACGATGGTCACGACAATTGATTGATTGGGTGATCGAGACGTGGTCGAATGATCGAGCTTACGCTTCAAAAGCAGGTACTGGTGACAAACTTGTGACTGTAAGCGGCTGTGACGGATTGTCCTGTGTGTGCCTGTGCGTGCAGAAATTTCACCGCGACCTCCCCGCGACGAAGATCTACGCGTACGGCGTGAGCGAGAAGACCGCGTCGTACCCCGGGCCAACGATCGTGGCGAAAAAGGGGGTTACCACGCGGGTTACCTGGTGCAACCGGCTGCAGGACCGGCAGCACATGTTCACGCAGGACTACACGCTCATGAAAGACATGCCCAAGCCGAAAAAGGGAGGCGTTCCCATCGGTGAGTGCAGCTTGAGCCGACTCTGCCCGCGGTCTGCCCGACTGTCTGTCCGAGCCTTCCTTCCGCCATTCCTTCCCCCCTCCCCTCCCCACTTCCTTCCCCCCTTCCTTCCATTCCTTCCCCACTTCCTTCCCCCCTTCCTTCCCCACTTCCTTCCCCCCTTCCTTCCCCACTTCCTTCCCCCTTTCCTTCGCCCCCCCTCTCCCCTTCCCTCCCCAGTGCCGCACCACCACGGCGGCGAGACGGAGAGCAAGTACGACGGAAACCCGCTCGCGTGGTTCACGCAATTCGGCGAACACGGCCCCACCTTCTCCTCCTCCTATTCCTCACACTCCTCCAACTCCTCTTACTCCTCTTCCTCCTCCTCTTCATCCTCCGCCTGCGCCACCTACGAGTATCTGAACCAGCAGCCGGCCTCCCTCACCTGGTATCACGACCACACACTCGCGTGGACGCGCCTCAACACTGTAGCTGGGATGGCGGGGTTCTATATCAAAACCGACCCTAACGGGGATGAGCGGGACATGAAGTCATGGCTTCCCCCCTGGAAGCGCACCGTGCCTCTCGCGATCGCGGACCGCCTGTTCTTCAAGAACGGGTCGATTAATTTCCCCAACGTGGGCGTCGATCCGAAAGTGCATCCGAATTGGATTCCCGAGTACGTAGGCGACACGATCGTGGTTAACGGCGTGGTTTGGCCGTATCTGCGCGTGCGCCCCGCGGTGTACCGCTTCCTCCTCCTCGGCGCGGCCAACGCGCGCTTCTTCAACCTCCGCTTCCAGTGCGCCGCGCGCGGAGACTACCCCAACTTCGTCCCCCCCCTCCGCGGAAGCGTCATCAATTTCGCGCTCATTGGCAGCGACGGGGGATACCTGCAGCGGCCCGTGTTTCTGTCCTCGCTGCTGCTGGCTCCCGGGGAGAGATACGATATTCTTGTTGACTTTGCCGCGGCGCGGCAGGGCGGCGCGTGCAGGGATGTGATTGTAACGAATGATGCCGCAGCGCCGTATCCCGGGGGAGAGGCGGTGGATGGGAACACGGGCGTGGTGATGCGGTTTGTGATTCTCGACCGCAGCCCCTTCAAGGCTCCGGCAATTCCCAAGAGAATTGTTGTACGCTTCTGGCTACTTCTCCTCCTCCTTGCCACTTTCCCCTTGGCATTTCCTAATAGTTGTACGGGTCTTCCTATCTCTTTCTCCTTGGCATTTCCCCCATTCCCCTTGTTCGATCCTCCCCCTTTCCTGGCTTGTTTCTTATTCCAAGATCACTCAATGAATCAACCTTTCCCTTTCCCCCTTTCCCCCTTGACCCACTCTCCCCTGTCCGCTCAACCTTCCACATGAGCTCTCACCCACTCTTCTCCGCTTCTCTCCTCTATCCACCACATCCCTTCCAGCCTGTCCCCTCTATAGACTTCTCCAAGATCCACAGAGTGCGCTGGAAGAAGCTACTGGAGACTACCAACCCTATAAGCGGCATGCCAGAACGAGTCACTATAGACGGGCTTCGTTATATGGACCCAGTAACGGAGATCCCTGTACAAGGCAGTAACGAGATCTGGCATATCATCAACCTCTCGGCCGACGCGCACCCTATTCACTTGCACTTGGTGCAATTCCGGGTCGTTTCGCGTCGCGCTTTCGACGCCACGGCGTACCAGGCGAACAAGTGCTCCTTCACGAGCAAGAACCGTCCGTCGTGCTTCGTGGGACCGGAGATGAAGGCGCAGAAACACGAGATTGGGTGGAAAGACACAGTGCCTGCGCTTCCGGGTCAAGTGCTCACGTTCTGGGTCGGCTGGTATGGCCAGGTGAGCTACCGTGATTGGCAAGGAGAGATGGAAGGTGAGAAGGGAGAGAGGAGGATAGAGTGGGAAAGAGTTTGGAAAGAAGGGGGAAGGGGGGATTGGTGGTGATGGGTGGCTGCTGTAATCACACTGAGGCACAACCCAAGTGTCACAGGCATACACTACTCTCTTTGCTGTACACTCAAATCCTGCTTGGTCCACCCTCATACGCTCTTGCATGTTGCATTGTAACACTTCTCCTGCATTTCCACCTCTGTATGCGCCCCTCTCTGCAATCACAACAGGATGGCAAGCCATTCGAGTTTGACCCTACCTCTGGGCCAGGATACGTTTGGCACTGCCACATACTCGACCATGAGGATAATGACATGATGCGGCCATTGAAGATACGCAAGTAACAACTGATTTGGCGTTTCTTTATGTTTAACCTGGTGTACTAACGTATTTACTGCTCTTATGGTGAGTATCAGTAACCATAGCAATAGAACCATATGTGTGCATTGCTGTATATCTAAGTCAGACTACAACGGTAGCAAATTAGCAGTGCGTCCGCTATGAATTATCAAATAAACGGCTTCTTGTCGCAATGGCAGCAACATCGTTTTTTACAAAACATGAACAGAACAGTTAGCGCAGTCAGTCCATCCCTAGCGAACCATCCCCCGAGTCAGATCCCATTGGTTTATCTGTCAGTCATCCCATGAATAAGCAACAAGCTCTATTCCCAGCAATGAACGCGTCGTACTAACTTGCTTAGCAGCAATCCCAGTTAACTACCATACCCTACACGTTAAGAACCCCCCCGGTTATACACAGTCGCGGCTCGCGACGTTAGCTCATTGAATGGTCGTTTATCAGCGACCATTCGGCACGAACTTGAACGGCCGCATCATGTCGTTATCCTCGTGATCCAGCATGTGGCAATGGTACACGTATCCCGGCCCGACAGAAGCGTCAAATAGAAGCGGCTTTCCATTGTTATCCTTCCATCCAGCCCACAGCGTGAGCACCTGACCGGGATATGCAGGCGTTGTGTCCTTCCACCCCCTCTCAGTCGGATCAACAGGGATTCTGCCGCTCATCCAGCACGCAGGCTTCTTATCCGATTTGCGGAACGAGCACCTGCCAGCCTGGAACCCCGCCACGTCAAACGCACGGCGGGCAATCGGACGGTGGTCAATCAAATGGATGTGGAACGGATGCGCGTCGGCCGAGAGGTTGATGATGTGCCAGATCTCGTTCGTGCCTTGCTTCGGGAAGTCCCTGACAGGATCCATAAACCCTAGGTTGTCGATGGTGACGCGGATGGGAAGGTTCGTTTTCGGATCCATTTCTTCCACCAGGCGGTGCCATCGCACCTTCTGAATGTCCCTAAAGTTGATCCTAGGAACGTACTGCATGGGGAGAAATGGGGAAGTTACTAAACACGGGGAGAAAAGGAGGTTCTTAATGGCTAAAAAAGGAGGTGCCGCTGGGAAAAGGGGGACATGCTAGAAAACAGGCATCCGGATTGCCAAATTCACTTACCGAAATCCGGTTTGGGATTTTAGGGGCAGGAAAACGTCCACGGTTGGTGATCACGATGCGCATGACAAGTCCCGTGTCGCGGTCAGTGGCAATACCGCCCGGGTAAGGTGCACGGGCGGTATTCTGGAGAATGACGTCTTTGCATGACGACGGGAGGTTGGAGAAATCCACGAGAATGTCGTGGCGCGCGCCGGGGGTGAGGAGCAGCGAATTCATGTACACGGGCTTCTCTTGGTAACCACCGTCGCTAGCAATCTGCGAGGAAGAACGAACAAAGAAGAAATCATTAGCGACAGCGAGATTCACCCTTCCAACATGGAAACAAACTGATTGTGGTTACGGGGTTGTCGAACTAAAAATGTACCGATCTATTTTTTGGAAAGTTGGAAGAATTGTTACTCACCTCGATCATCTGAAGGACCTTGCCCGTGAGAGGGGGTACGAAGTTGGGATAATCGCCGCGCTGCGCGCACACGAATTTGAGATCGTAGAAGCGCGCATTCGAGGCACCCAGCACCTTGAACCGGTAGAGCGCCTGTCGAACCTTGAGGTACGGCCAAACCTGCGCAACGCACGAGCATGACACGCACCAAGCAGCACTTTTAAATTGCCCCTTGCGGTCAACAAATTCTCTGCAGCTCGCCACTACGCAAAAAAATATCTAACTGGGAAAATAGGCCCCGAAAGTCGGACCGGGTACGCTCCAGCTAGAGGAGTAGCACCACAATCGTAGACTCACCACGCCGTTGACCATGTTGGTGTCACCGAGGTACTCGGGAATCCAGTTGGGATGCACGTTGGGCACAATCCCCACGTTCGGATAATTGATCGACCCGTTGGCGAAGAACAGCCGATCCGCGATGGCGAGCGGGATCGTACGGCTGGGAGGAGGCAGCCAGGCGAACTTGGACTCGACCTTGGGGTCCGTGATTATGTACAGCCCCGCCATGCCCGCCGCCACGTTCAGCCGCGTCATTCCCGCCATGTGGTCGTGGTACCACACGGTCGACGCCTCGTCGTTCACGTACTTGTAGTTTTTGGAATAATAGGTCGGCCCTTTCTCGCCGTATTGCGTGAACCATGCGAGAGGGTGGCCGTCGTAGTAGCTCTGCTGAGAGCCGCCGTGGCGATGCACGACTGCCATAAAAGGGGATCATACGAGTGGCGTGAAAGTGAGTGTGATGCCTGCTGGAGAGGACGATCGGATTTGCAGAAATGAAGTGCCATGGGAGCGGTTTTACCTATGGGAATGCCGCGCTTCGGAAACTTTTAACCCATGATGAGCGTGAGGTTGTTCAGTGAACATGTGCGTGTTGTTGAGCAGATGGTTCTGGTGACAAATGCGCTTACTACCGATCGGGATGCCTTTATTGGGAAACTTGTACCCCATGACTCATGGGGTGGGACGGTGAACATCATATGCGTGTTGTCTTTGAGGCGAATCGAAGCTAACGGAAGGAGAGCTCTTTCAGACATCATGAGATATTGCACTTACCGATGAGAATGCCCTTCTTGGGGAGTTTGATGCCCATCTTGATTGTGCGATCGACGGTGAACATCATAATGTGCGTTTTGCCGAGCAGGGTACCGTTCGGGAGCCCAGAGTACAATGGGAAATGTGTTACGAAGCGCGCTCTTACCGATGGGAATGCCTTTCTTTGGGAGTTTGATGCCCATCATGACCGTGCGATCGACTGTGAACATGTGCGTGTTGTCGAGAAGGTGGTTCTCCCACGTCACCGCCGTGTCGATGCCAACCTTGGCCACGATGGTGGGGCCGGGGTACGACGCCGTCTTCTGACTCGTGCCGTACGCGTACTGCTTCGTCGCCGGCAGATCGCGATGGAATTTCTGCGATGCGCACAACAGCGTCGAAGGGAGACATCACAGTGAGCCGAAGGGGCGCATTGTGCGTTCGCGTCAGATCGCGATGGAATTTCTGCGACTTGAGCGACGACGCGCGTCCGTCACGAGAACATTGAATAACCGGCGCCGCCTCAAAAAGTCGATTGCAGATGGTTGACGCACGACTTACCTGGTATATTTGGTACACGCCGATAGTGAGTCGCTTGGTGCCATCGAGAGTGGGGATGACATGCGAGGTCAGGCTGTCCACGAACTTGCACAGTGACCTCTTCGGAAAAGCATTTACGCACTTCGGGCCAGCAGTTGACATAAGGGTTATTTCTGCTCTAACAGCGACATTGATGAGGCTGAAGACTACTAAGAGAACGTAAATTGATCGTCTGGGTTCGGCCATTGGGGCGTGTGTTGTAGAATGCTGCGCGGTAGGAGGTATACATTAGTACATTCTTGTTCGAGTCGACTGACGGTGGGTGGGGGAGGGTGGTATGCACGATAAGTGCATTGCCAGCACATGCCGCGGGGGACATACACGTACTGTAGCATCTTGACAGCTGACTGGGCTTGTTCCTTGTCGTGTTGTTGCTGGGCTGACGGGATGGGTAGGGTAGGGCATTGTTTGTTGAATGAAGCGAGTCGCTTCGCTTCCTTCTAACTTCCAATCCAAGCCTCCATTGCATGCAGGCGGCGCCGCGAGCTGTTCTTGCCATATCGAATTACTTGCAACGAATGAACGCACTTCATTGGTGCACGTGGGTGCCAAAACACAGTAAATTTGGGTTCCCGTATCAGTCAGCCAACGTGCTCGTGTTTCCATACACACAGTCCCTCCCACGAGTCATAGCGTTCTAGCAATCAATGGGAACTTCAGTGTAGTATGGCACTGTAAAATGAGAAATGGCAAACATTAGATGGGAGGCATAATGGTATAAGCTTTCCACAAAATGTATTGATACATATCAGGACCGTAGGCACACCCTCACTTCACTCACACTCACCCCATACTAATGACCCTTGGACGTACCCCATAAAGCAGGCATAGAGTTGGGAGGGCTAAATGCATTGTTTAGTATGGCTTATTACCCAATGAAAAGGATGCAGATTGAGACGAGTGAGCCTCCCTTCTCAAACCAGTCTCAACCAGTGTGTTTCAAAATTCACCCTCCATGCTTCCACTCCATCTTCCCTACGGGCAAAACACACAACCCCACATCACACCACCGAGCCAGCAACATCCACACAAGCAGGCCCCTATATTTGTTTTGGGGCACGCTGTTCGATCAGAGTGCACCCCTCGTGGAACTCTGGCTGTCAGAGTTGCCTCGTTTTTCTATGCTGAAAATTCAGACAACACCAAATTTCAACGCTGAACTTTCAGCGCTGCATCCAAAATTTAAGCCGATCAGCTGTGGTGTCGTCCGAAGTGCAGCACGCTGCGAGCTATGCGTTGGCAAGGAATCTTGCCAACGCTGCCTGCTGTGCAGCCGCGATTGGTTGGAATTGAAGCTGATATCGCCATTCCTGTACCAACGCGACTGTGCGGTGCCGCGCTCGGGAAGCTTTGGTGCCATCCCAACCACTAGACCATTAGGATAAAATGACTTGTTAAGTAGCGGAGCAGTGCGCCCATAGCCCCCCGAGGACAACGAGCCTGTAGCCCTTCCCTAGGATCAATCGGGGATCATCAGTGGACCTCTGACACCCCCTCCGCACTGGGATGCCCGAAGTGCACACGCTAGGATTCGAACCCGAGACCTTCGCTCTGATACCACGTCTGAATCCCAACCACTTAGACCATTGGGATAAAATGACTTGTTAAGTGGCGGGTCAGTGCGCCCATACCCCCCCTGGACAATGAGCCTGTAGCCCTTCCCTATGATCAATCGGGGGTCACCAATGGACCTCTGTGTCAAACATTAATCTCATAGCCTGTCTAGGCTGTAGTGGGGTAGACACTATGGGGTACAGTTTGCTAGGGTTTCACATTTGTACCCAACTCATTCCTTAG